ATTCCCCTCAACGTTGTCGACGTTCCCCCTCCAGACCAGCAAGTGACGGAGACAGCACCTTACTGCGTATCATTCTGTCCTTTAGAAGACGCGGACAACTCCTCTCACAGAACGCTGGGTCTATTTATATAAGTCTATGTATAAGAAACACGACTTTCACAGCACTTTTTTATTATGCTCGTATCAGACTACACATTAAAGATTGAAATTTGACCAATCAGGACAAAGAACTTTTGGCTCCTTTTGTTTCGATTGATCAAATTTCAATCTTATCTGGATATAACTAAAATTGCTACAAGTTGGCAAAGGAGATTTCCATCATAACTAGCTAACTAACTTTAATGGAAATCCCTGGAACTACACTAACCTCAAAAAACGCACGAAAAAGATTTAAATCTCCGAATCAGCTTTCTCTGACTTTCTTTTAGCTAAATTCTGTATTACTTTGCAAAATATTGCCAAGAATTTCGAATTTACAAAAGAATTATTATGACAATTTTATGATCGCGAAGTTTTCTTCTATGAAATTACTTTTTAAAATTTTTTATCAGCACATCAAAATGTCATGATTTTATAAACAAATAATAGTGCAAATACCATAGAAATACGCATACACAATAACTATTTGATTTTTATATTTGGTATCTTAACTACATGCTTATAGGCAATTTGAAAAGAATGGACAACCGGTTTTCATTCACATTAAAATTTATGGACTATTTTAAGTCATCGTTAAGACTGCCGCAATTAGACATGCATAAATACGCTTATTCAGATAAAGGAATTTGTACTTATTGTTAGATAAAAAGATAAGACAAACAATGACATTTATATTCCTGCTGCAAGTGGAACTTTAACAGGATTTTGTGCGGCAATTTGCTTCTTTTATTCGAACCAAGAGCAGAATTCTACCATATGGACGTGTATGTATGCGTATACGATAATCTTAAGCGATATACTACGAACATACCAATTGTTACGATTGATGAGCACAGTGTTAACAGCCATTTGTGATATATTAATTTATAGCAATTTATAGTGATACATTTTGATGGTAGGGGTTGATCATCCTGTATTATCTCGTACATATATCTGATTTGTTACGTGTGCATGTGTATAACAATGTGTGTGATGTCTGCGGAGATATTTTTAAAACTTTTGAAATTTCGATAGTGTGAAATACATTTTGTGAATAGTGAGCTTTATTGAGTATTTATCTTACTGACATTGTTCACAATTACATATTTAGAAATTGTGACTTATTTTTAAAATGCCATTGATATTTTTAATCTTTGTTCCTCAGCAACACAGTAGGATCAAGCTCTGTGGAAAAAGCAGCAATGTACAAAGTACTTTCTAATATGTCAAAGTATACAGTGAGTACATAGACATTCATTTTTGACAAAAGGTAGAAGAGAGCTTTTAATAAAAGGGATTGCTCTAACAGGTCCATAATGGATTGCATAAGACATCATCAGTTCTTCGTGGACCATCCATAACAACCTTAAATCTAAATAAACAAGTGCTTCCCAAACAACCTGTTCCTGATATTAAGCAAACTGCAGAGCGTTATTTAAGGTACATATCTATATTTTTTTCAATATATGATCATCATTATTTATAACTTGTTAATTGTAGGTCTTTGAAGCCACTGTTGACTGACAATGAATATAAAAATACAGAAAGAATTGTAAATGAATTTGTAAGCGACACTGGTGCAGGACCTCGATTACATGCTAAATTACTAGAGAGATATGAAAACACTGATAATTGGGTACTTCACGCATTTACATATATTTTTAAATTAATACTAACATGAGTACTATTGATTTATATTTATATACTTTTAGATGAAGGAATGGTGGTTGCAAGTTGCATATTTAGGATACCGTTTCCCTGTGATTGTACATTCCAGTCCTGGAACTGTTGGACCACCAGTTACTTTCAACAGACCAGATGATGTGTATGCATTTGCAGCACGGCTTGTTGCTGGAGTATGTGATTACAATGAGATGGTCAAGAGGTGACTTTTTACAACTTACAATATTTTTTTTTTTGTTATATACTTTATACTCACACGTACAATGAAACTTTTTAGTGAAAAGATGAAACAAGAAATGGCACGCAATGATCCACTTGACATGCAACCTTATGGCATGATACTAGGTACACACAGACAGCCCAATAAAGTAATCGATAAACTGTTGCATACAGACGAGGCCAAACACATAATAATCATAAGCAATAATCATGTAAGTATGACTATATCAGTGAGAAGATATCTCTATACATACATTTCATCTATATTACAGTTCTTTAAACTTTGTGTTGTCGATAAAACCGGCATTTTAAGTGAGGATAAGCTCGTGGCTGCTATAAAAGATATCGTAGATCGCTCGTGTGCGCAAGGAAAGCCTATAGGAATTTTAACTGGGAATGATAGAGATTACTTGGGCGAAGGACCACGATTTACTTTTAGGTTTACTTCAATTTATTTATTTATTTATTATATATTTATTTCTTGTGCCTATTCACATGATTTTTATGCATATCTTTTTGAACTGCATTCTTTGTTAATCATTTTAATAATTTTTTTCAGTTAATGAATCATTGATGCATTTTCAGAATTAGGTAACAATAGAAATATAATCAAGGATATAGAAACATCCTTGTTCATATTGTGTCTTGACAAGAATATACCTAAGGATGCTTTTATGGGAAAGAATAATGCTTCAGTTAGAGCAGTTCAAACGATGACAGGCTTCAACAGCCGCGTAAATGCGGGTAACAGGTGGCATGATAAGACTGTGCAGGTGAAACATGTGATAATTCAATAACAATAGAGAAATATTTAAAATCTGTTAAGATAATCAAAGGACACGTATATTTTGCAGTACATTGTATCCGCTGATGGTTACATCGGCATGGAATATGAACACTGTCCATGTGAGGGTGTTCCAGTTGCCGTCCTTCATGATCATGTGCTAAAATATATGTAAATAATTCATGCTAAGTAACCTGCCTCGTAATGGCGCAAATAAAAATCTCCGTCTACTTTCAGAGCAGCAAGGGAAAATAGTGCAAGGAACGCAAGTCCCAAAGATTTTCCCAGACCGGAACTTTTGAAATTCGAGACTAACGACGCCGTAAATCGTGCAATTGATAAAGCTGCTGATGCGGTGGACAAGTAAGCCAATTATCTGTTCTGCTGATTGTTAAATTATAATCATGCCAATGTCCTTATAAATACAATACGCATGATCTTTCAGGCTCTCAAATGACATAGACATGGAATGTTTTATATTCGACAAGTTTGGCGCGGACGAGATAAAAGCGATTAAACTGAGTCCCGACAGTTTTATCCAGATCGCGATGCAAGTGACGTTCTATAATTTATTGAAAAAACCACCGGCCCACTACGAGAGTGCGGCATTACGAAGATTTATAAATGCCAGAACGGAATGCATAAGGTCCACTAGCACCGAATCTGTCGAATTCGCGAAAATGATGCTCTACGACGCCGAGTGCGCGAGTAAAGCGCAGAAGAAGGAAATGCTAATCAAAGCTGTAAATGCTCACAAAGAGCTCGCTGGACAAGTAAGATTTTTCTCTGCTTAAATTACGGCGCGGTCTTTCAATGATGCGATGTGAACTCCAAAGCTAACGACTCTTCTTTGTAGGCAGCCGTGGGTCAAGGTGTCGATCGGCATCTGTTTGGCTTGAAAATGATAGCACAAAGCGAAGGAATGGAGCTTCCAGAATTGTACAAGGATGTTGGTTACACTAGAAGTACATATTTCAATTTAACATCGAGTCAGGTAATGCGAAACAAGTCCTTAAAATGTTAAAAAAGATTGAAACATTACATATTTTAATAAAAAAGTTACCGTGTTAATATTTTCGTGATTTAAAGGTGCCGTATAAATCAGCGTCGTTTATGTGCTATGGACCAGTTGTTCCTGACGGTTACGGCTGCTGTTACAATCCGCGACCGAAGGATATTCTGTTCGCCTGTTCTTCTTTCAAATCGTGCGAAAAGACAAACACGAGGGATTTTGCTCGCGTTTTGCAGCAAACACTGTGCGACATGCGGGACATTGGAAATGAATAGTACAGTTAAGATCACGTTATTTTTATACGCTATGTTTATACGCGGTGGCAAGCAGAACAGGGTAATTCAAACAAGGCGAAATATTTTATATACTTTTTATTATGAATAATGGGAGACAGTACTCTGAAAAAAATGCTTGGTGGAATACCGCTCTGTTTGACTTGCTCACACACATACGCACACGCACACACAACACACACTTGTAATACTAATACAATTATTAGTTTGTATTTTTCCACAATAAATATATATTTAGCGCATTATTGTGCAATTTTTATCACATATTATTAATAAAATTATAAATAAAAAATAGGAATTATTAATTGAGTGCATTTGACACATAATATTATGTCATAAGAGTGTGATATTACAGTTCCACATGAACTGTAGAAGATCTTTCGTTAGGGAAACCCCAGAAAAATGTCGGAAGTCCCTTGACTTCTCTTTCTCTGGCCACGAAAGCGGAGAACGAAGAAATACAGTTTCCTATGAAATAGTTTGCCCTACCGAGAATTGCTAGATCCAAATGCGGTGAGGCCAATGATTCTTGTCTGAAGACCGGTATCTAAAGTATGAAAACGAAGAAACGTTAAACTATGAATTCTTAATGATGTTACAATGACGTGCACAAGCTCACCTTCATACGTGACAAAGCTTCTTCAAGTTTCTCTAACATATGATTGTTGTCTGATGCCACAAACACTGATTTGACATCATTGCCGTTGCGAATAACGCGTTTCAGATGACGCAGTATTAAGTCGAACGACGGTAGGCACATAGACGAAGTTGCTTTGCCACGTTCATTGCGATACCCAAGGCACTGAGGCGCGGCGAAAAGGTTCGGCGCGGATGATATGTGTTCGCATGCGCGTATCTGAAAAAGAAACAAAGAGAAAAATAGATAAATAGAAGACTACTTGTACATTATCCTGTGTAGAATGTTAAGATACAATGATGCAAAAAAATACCCAATCAATTCCATTCCGCAAATGTATACCGATGAATGCACCTTTTGGCAATTTTTCCTTTATAAACGTTTTCGCTTGATTTAGTATGTCGTTATTCCAATTGAGGCATTTCTGAAACTGCTTATTTTCGATCTGCACTGGAAAACTAGCGGGTGCACCTGTAAACGCCAGTACTGGCCAAGTCACAGCTGGATAACGTTTCTGCCATTGCATCTTCATATCGGTATGATATACGTCGTAATGAAGCGGACCATAGAATTCTGATTTAGCAAAATCGATATTGTATGTGTCCCAGAAAGAACCGAATGGATTTCCTTGCTTGGCATTGCAGGATTGTCCTTTGCTTCCCTCGCGGGGTGAATAACAAAAAGCTAGAATGGATCAAAAGATGAAAATTTTGCCTTTATTCTTAAAGAAATTGATATGTAGAACTTACATACTCTTTCCTGAGGTAACCATATCCTCGGTGCAATATCCCTCATAAAGTCCTCCATTAACAATGCTTTGTGGCAGCTTTGTACTTGCGAAAGATTAAAATAAGTATTGAAAGGTATTTGTATCTAGAATATTGAATTTGATATTACACATTGTGCTATCAGTTTTGGAAATAATATTATATATGAACTTTGCTTACAGATTTTGGCTCTCCAGTACGAAATTCAACCCATGCCGGTACTAGCAGAGTACGATTCAAAGCTTTGGCAAACCCTAAAGCTCCTAAAAAATGATCTGCCTGATTTCCAAAACGTCCTAAAAATTAAACAGATTATTAATAAACGTATTAAATAATGTAGATATAATAGAAATTGGATTGTTACCCATGCAAGGGCAGTAAGCAATATAGCCATTTATATCAATTTCTTGGCAATGTGCAGTATAAACATTTATCAAAAATAATATGAAAATTGATATCCTGAGCATCATGATGAATTGCACTTCTACAAACTTTTATAATATGTATAAATTTCTGTAAAAATATTATAACTCAATTTTTTTCACAAGTTTCTGTAAGAAAAAAAGATATATATATGTAATACCGCACAATTTTTTGTGCGGCTTGACATGTGAGGTTAAACACAACTGAAACACAACGCAATTTCCATAGAGACGGACATTAACTATAGAAATACACAAGAATGTGCATATGTCTAAAGAATATTTAATTTGAGCAAAGTATGTACTGGCATAATTTATAAATAATAAATACGCAAACCATCTTATCAAATTTTTAAGTTCTTTACTTTTGCATACAATTTATCCACTCAATATAAATCATTTAAACAAATAAATTACAAGTATGTTTTTGTATGTCTTATACAATATTGAATAAATAATTATGTATAACAGTAGTTTATTACACCATTCAATAATTTTTATACCTCGTTATATATCCGTAATATGAAGATATTATATATTTTGTATAAATATAACGAATAACGTATGATAAAAATTTCTGATAAGCTAAGGAAATGTATCTAAAACTGACTGTATGAGCACTGTAGCACATGGGATATTGTATATTTGCATTACAAAAACTGAGAAGTATGACAAAAGATTCAGTAACAAATATATTTAATATAATCTTGTGTAATTTCCTCATTGTGATGCTGCTGCTGATTCATTCAGACGAGTTTTAGGGTTTGTTGAGGGATTATTCATTGGTATCAATGGTAATAGAGAACCAAAGAAGACATGTTGGATAACAGGAAACTTTGCCAACACCTGAAACAATGATGTATATAAATTATTATTTTTATTTACAAAGTATTTTGTAAGTAACTTTTTCTATAATTACCTCTGCTTTGTACATTTTAATAAGACCACTGTTGACTTTTGACCAGGTGGATACTGCGCTCACATTCCACAATTGATTTGAATGTTCGGCAAAAGGTCCTATTTTCACCTAAAAAATGCAATAATTGTGTCAAAATATAGGTTCTTGAATTTTAGCAGATATATTAAATCATATCAGTAAATATATTATAAATTTAATTACGTTTTGTACAAATTCAAAAAGTTTCTCATACTTTTGAAATAAATTCGATGCAGCCAAGAAACATGTACTTCTTGCTGTAAGATTCCACAACACCTTGGTCTACAAAGTGACGAGGTTCTATCCGAGGATGTCCTAAAAATATATAAGATAAAGATATATAATTAGAAATGTTAAGTGTAAAATGTATAAAAAATTAATTCTATAAAATTATTTACACTAATTATGAATCATATCTATACTATAAATCATATATATACTACTGATAAAAAAAAAAATATATATATATATACACAAAGTAATAATACCAATGAGTTGAGCACTTCCCCAAATGAAGGGTATAAATTGGTAATCATCCAAGCTCCAAACACCATGACTACCTGCTGGTTCCATGCGATATGTCAACTGAAGTCTACGCACCAACTCAAGATATCTTTAATCCAATGCAAGAATGATATAAATAGTTAATTTAAAAAATAAAGCACATCACACCATATTAATAACACAGTTAAATACCTATTAAATACTTTTATTGCAACAGCAACTTTATCATCCTCCTTAAATGCGCCTATTTTAAACATGCAACAAAGAAACATAAGGAAAGCCATTTCATGGCCTGTACCATAATCTATACGGGTAGGATTTCCAAAACTTTCATCTAAATACTGAACAATCTCTGGTATTGCACGATGCAATTTCTCTGGCAACACCCGTTTTAATTCCTCCGCTGCATTCTGTATAATAAAAGTCCAGTCACAATAAAATAAAATTATCTAAATTTAAATAATTTTTAAATAATGTATTAATATCAGACCTGCTGTAGTTTTTCGTGCCATGTGCGAAATGATTTGTTACCAAATCTTTGAGGCTGCTCAGTAGGTGGAATTTCTGTTATCCATTCATCAAATTTATTTAACATTTGTATAACATTGGTCAATATAGGAGATTGTACACATTCTGTATCTAAAGTTTTCCCTTGAACAGCTTCATTCAGTGCCAATATAAATCCCAAATATTCCTACAAATAAAATTATATAGAATATATAGTAAAATTATACTGCAGCTATATTATAATAAAACTATAAAATTATCTTACAAAGTATGCTTCTGATTTTTGCCAAACTGTTATATCAGTTGGCACTTTGATACATTTTTTTGGCACAATAAACTCATGTTGATCAGCTAAAAAAATACGTTAATATATATGTTAATATATATTTGATAAAACTCAATTCAGTTGTAACATATATAACATAAGATACATACGTAATAACTGTGTTTCTTTTATAGGAAATTTAGGCGTTGACATGATGAATGTTTAAAGATTTGGCTGTAATATATTAATGAATTTTATTACGACGAAACAGAAGTATTTTTTAACATTGAAAACACTTCATTTCAGTGTAATTACACGAATAATTTCTATCAATCGTCACTATCGCCACCGCTTCGGTACCAAATGCATAAAACCTAAGGCAATAAAAGCAGAACTTTTATTTTGCAGCACTACAGCAAAACGCGATTTAGATGAAGGTAATGCAGACGGATATTCTCTCGGGCATAATTACCTCGTTTAAAATGTAAATAAGTAAGTTAGCGATAAAGGTTAAATCTTCGAAATGTCCATGACCTTGCAACAGAGATGCCAGAATCAGCTGGAATCAGCCAAAATGGAGATGCGACCTGCGTAAACGCAGTCTGATGCAGGCACTGAAGAAGAAAAGAGACAAAACAATCCCACTGCCTCTCTTTGTCTGACCGCTCGCTTACGCCACGTTTTTATGAGAAGACGCTTTCCAGTTTGTATAGAGTTCAATGGATGTAGGCTTTAGAAAACATCATGTGACCAAGAACTACTGTAACGATTGGTTATTTTAGCATCTTTAAGCTTTCAAGACGCCTGTGAAGGAAAAAGACGGAGCTAACTCATTGCTCTCTTTATCATTCCGTGGTCTGATCCGTGACGCTTCTTCAAGATGTATAGAATTCATTGGTGAAATAAAAAATTAACAATTTCAAGGCGCATTACATCAGATGGTATATGAAAAATATCAACCATATTGTTCGGACATACTGGGACATACGCAACAGCTTCCATGAGAACTGCGCGTTCCCTTCGATTGCAAGTTTGTCACATAACCAACTTGGCCGATCTTGCTACGATAATGTTTATAAATACTCGAATTTGACATATGTTATGTGACGAGTAACGACTTTGTTGGAGCCTTACGAAAACCTTTCCGTGAATTTGGTGAAGTACGGATAATGCATTCGGAGCTATGTCATTAATGTGATAAATTATTGCCCGAAACAAATCAAACGTTGAGAAAATGACAACTGGTCAGAGTGGGCACAGTCACTCTCTTGCTATCAGACAGGAAATACAACGTTTTGAGAGCGTTCATCCGTCAATATATGCCATTTACGATCTAATAGAGCTTGTGTCAGACGCGCACATTGCTAAACAAATTCGCGAGCACGTTGTGGCAATCGAAGGTACTCTATACTTGTTTACTACATTTTTTGGTAATGGATACTTGCTACCATTACACACATTTGCATATAATAATATGATGATAATAAATTTTATTATTTTGATAAATACTAATTATACTATTTACTTCGTTGTTATATATTGTATATTGTATTATTCATTATAATGTACACCTAAATTTGCATTTTTTTAGACTCCTTCGTTAACAGTCATGAATGGACACTGGCAAGAGATGTTCCAGAATTACACTTGGGAATCATTGGTTCTTCTGACTCTGGAAAGTCGGCGCTTGTTCACAGGTATCTAACTGGGTCCTTCATGCATGAGGAATCACCTGAAGGTGGCCGTTTTAAAAAGGAAATCTTTATTAATGATCAGAGCTATCTTCTCTTGATCAGAGATGAGGGTGGTGTGCCAGAGGCTCAAGTATGCAACAAAACCATTTTTGTACACATACTGTTTACCACTAGACTGATGTTAATATATTAATATTAACTGATAATAGATTAAATAATAATAAATGTATTTGTGCTGGTTTCAGTTTTCAGCTTGGATAGATGCTTTATTACTTGTATTCAGTTTAGAAAATGAGGAAAGTTTTTCTATAGTTTGCAATTTTTATAATCGAATGTGTTCTTTCCGAGACATGTCAGAAGTACCAAAAATACTTGTAGGTGTACAAGGTGTGTATAGCGCGAGTATACAATATATACAATTTTTTGTAGAAATAATTTTTTCTTTTTTTGATTTTGTTGTTGCTAGCGGCCATTATAAAGTTTGCAATTTTTTGAATTTATTAATTTTATAGATTCAGTTAACGACAGTAATCCTCGTGTGATAAATGATGTCAGACCGCGAAAACTGGCTTGTGATCTAAGATGTCCTTATTATGAAACATGTGCTATTTATGGTTTAAATGTGGAAAGGGTATTTCAGGATGGTAAGGACATTTATACTAAAGATTATTAGATACATATCAATATGATGTAAAGCACAGTTTATTGTTTCAAATTGATTTTCTTACATATTGTGTTAATAATGTTACAATTTCAGTGTGTCAAAAAATTATACAGAATGTATCGGCAAAACATTTTTCATGTGATATCTGTCAACGTACTACGGAGAATGAAATTAAATTTTCAATCCCTGTTGTTACTAAAACTGTGCACTTACATAACAAAGAGATGGAGACAACAAATTCATTGAAAGTGAACGTAAGTCGAAGTTATCTGTTATACATTGCATCTTGAAGCAAATTTTGTTAAAACCTGAACAAAATGATCGAAATATAATTTGCAATTTTTTAGCAGACTTCAGAAAAGGACGAAGATAGTCGATCTATTCACAACAGTTCTGTACCAAACGACTCAACATTGTTGAACGATAATTTTCACAATGTACAGAATCAACACGGAGAACTACGGTCGTCGATTTTAACGCCAACCGCTATTAGGTTTAAATATAAATATAATTATTCTCTTCAATACTTTCTTCATTATGCATTTTGCATTAATGTACTTGTATGTGGTTATTGTCATTTTCTACAGGAAATTTAGAAGAAAATCGAATATATTTACACCGTCTAAAAAGGAAAAATATACGGGCGAGATGGGCGTTGGTAGAGAGATACCTGTTAAACAAGGTTATTTGTTTAAACGAAGCAGCAAATCTTTAAAGGAATGGAAAAAGAAATATGTCACGTTATTAGAGGATGGTCGTTTGACGTATCATTCGAGCTTACATGTAATTGTCCATTTTTAAAGAATATGCTTTGCACGATGATTGCATTTGTAAGAAAAATTATGAATTTATATTCGTATTCAGGATTATATGAACGATACCAATGGCAAGGAAATACTTTTGCAATATGTTACTGTAAAGGTACCCGGCAAAACGCCAAAAGGTTGCAAGTCGTACAATGCTCAAGGTATTACATTCTTTGTTTTATATAATTATTTAACATTTTTAATATATTTTATTCATTGCAAAAGTACTTATTTTCAGAAGATAGTTTCGAATTTTCTATTATTTCATTGGAGAACAAAACTTGGCACTTTGAAGCAAATAATGCTGAAGATAGGGATAACTGGATTGCTGCGATAGAACAACAGATATTATCAAGCTTGCAGAATAGCGATGGCGACAAGAAAAATGAAACCGATGCTTTCAAGATGCATTGTATAAAGAACAAAGTCTCGGGAAATGATGCATGTGTTGATTGCGGTGCACCGAGTGAGTGGATTTTCATTTTAATTTTATTATACAATTAATAATTAATCGATTTTCCTCGTTTTAGATCCCGATTGGGCCAGTCTCAACTTAGGAGTACTGATGTGCATTGAATGTTCCGGTATCCACAGGAACTTGGGTTCACACATATCGAAAGTTCGATCCTTAGATTTGGACGACTGGTCGTAAGTATAATGCACTTTTACGCATATATGTTACGCATACAATATGCATAATACATGTCCAATTAATGTTGTCAATGTTTTTTACTTAATGATACATCTTTCACACCGATTTTAGCGCAGGTCATCTAAGCGTCATGCTGGCTCTTGGCAATGATACAGCTAATAGCATCTGGGAATATTGTTTGAACGGAAAACAAAAACCCGTCTCGGATTCGTCTAGGGAAGAGAAAGAGCAATGGATCAGGTGGAAGTACGAGGATAAACTTTTTCTACCGCCGATCAATCCAAACATCTCTTTAGGAAAATTGCTCATCGATTCAGTTTGCCGGTAAAATGTCTCCTTAGGCCTCTTGCGTTCTGTCGACTAGTCGCCGACGATCTTTAATCTTGATTTCAATGCTGATATTTTTACGATTTTACCGTTTTTTCGTGATTATACAGGGGAGATATGAGAGCGTTTACGTTGTGCTTGGCACGATGTAATAACGAGGACATCAATATCTCGGTCAGTACGGAAGATCGGAGGACACCGTTGCATCTGGCCTGCGCAACCGGAAACTTGGCCATGGCTCAACTTTTAATATGGGTATATATTTTTCTTCTTTCTCTCTTCTCTTCTCTCGTTTTTGAACTAAAATTGTACATAATATCTATATTGTAATACCGTTATCGCAAACTTTGCAGCATAAAGCAAATCCGCAAAATCTTGATCATGAAGGACGAACGTGCATGTCATATGTACGAGCTTTGGAGAGAACGCTCGATAATTCATCGGACTCGATGGAAATGCAGAAACTCCTCGAAGTATTGGAACAAGCCACTGTCTCCGGAACAGACGACGTAGACGCATCTCAGTATTAAAGTTCGAAAAAAAAAAGGAAAGAAATATGCCTTAATCACCCTGCCTACAATTTTCCGCAATGAAATATGTTGTTAATACCGTGTACTTATGGTATGTAAAGCCATACTTTGTTTAGTGATAAAGAAAAGTTTTAGAGCTTTTAAATAACAATTGTTTGAAAAGAAAATCGCCAAAGTGTGTAGAACAAAGCATTGAAAATTGGCATATATTAACGATTAATTCGCAGCGTTGTATTACACATCCTGCAAAAAGTTTATATTGCACATAGTTCATATGACAAATCTAATTTCACACGTATTACGAAATTCATCTTGAATTGGATAAAAAAAAGTTGAAATATGATATACTTTTGTATACTGAAAATAATCTTAAAGAATCTTAAAGAAAGAAGTTTCACAATACGATATTTCATAGAATGTCAATCACAGAGAATTAATAGTATGCTCGAGTGTATATTGTCAATGACTGAGAGTACAAAACACTCATAAATGTAGTTATATTTATATATACTTAATACATGTAATTGTGTTTAAAAATGCTTTTACAGCTTTTATTTTATTAATTAAAATTTTTTTTTAATTGTCTGGAATTATGTTTTATTTATTCAAAATTGCATCCAATGTTATTTTATTTCACTTCTTGAACGCTAGTTCGAGAATGTTGCGTTTCGCTCTTAGCATTGAATTTTTTATATTTCGTCGACGATGATGTTGCGCTTATACCGTAAACTGTTCCCTGTTGTGCATTTATATCGTCTGAGAACAACAAATAACAAGTGAAAGCAAATAGCAATTCAATCGTATGTTATATCGTACAAATTTTCTATTTTTCATTGACTTTTTAAGCAGATACTTTTCTTTACCTGTAGGATGTATATTTGTTGGAAAAATAGGCATTTTACTGTAATGAGCAGTAGTCGTTAGCATCGATGCGACAGAATGAGATGAAATAGAAGTTTTCCACAAAGAAGGATATCTGGAATAAGATAAATATACAGGTGTTTTATACTGTTTACTAATCTTATATTATTCCACATGCAAATAAAATTTTCTTCAAAATTCTTATATCAATGTCACTATTGTAGTGTAAGATGTACATACATCTTGTTCATCTCGTTAGCTATTAAATTGGATAGGGGCGTCTTCAAGGTAAAAATTTCGTTGCAAAGCTCATTGTAATGCTGCAAGGGCGATTGTGCAGAAACAAACTCTTTGTAAGCACAAACAAACAGATTTTGCAAATTTTCAATCGAACATTCCATGTGCTCTTCGATAAACAACATGCATTCTAAACAGATGTGAATTTGTGCCAACGTGATCAACTTTTTCCTGCAATTAATAAAGTCGTTAAATTTAATCACATCTAAATTTGTGCAAATAATTTCTCTAAATGTATATGCATCACCTATAATTCTCTGTGTTAAAAATTCCAGTGGATCTATCGATCAATTTCTGTCGAACGTCATGTAAATTGATGAATCGCGCTCCTCTTAGGATATACAGATAATCTCGAATAAGCTTTTCAAATCCCATGTCCACGACAAGTTCCAACGGCACACTTCCCACTAATAAGTGAGATATTGTTTCTTGACAACGCAGATCAGAAATACATTTTACAAATCTAGTTGAATTTGTGTCATTGATCTGAAAAGCATCAAAATACACTTATGTAAGAATTATTTTAGTGTTCGTCACTTATATCATTGAGATGAGTCAAATGAGAAGATTTAAGATTGATTACCTGTGGTGTAAAATTATATTCAAGAATTTCCTTAAGGACTGTTTCAATATAGTCTATCATTTGTGAATATTCTGACGTCTCTGTATAATAAAAAAAGATAATGAAGTTACCCAAAATAAGTGTACATTTATACAAATTTAATTTCATTGAAGAGAAAAGTCACTCACTTGTAAGTATTTCCCATAAAAAATCGATAAAATCTATATCATGTCTTGAACAGATATTTTGTACACGTTCCAACAATTTTGCATCTATTTCAGCATTTCCTTTGTTTATATAATTAGTATCCCTAACATTATTATTTCCAAATCTTTCAAAACTGAGATCTCCATTCAACAAAAGATTTATTTTTTCAATTATGGCATCATGTTCCTATGATATTAATATATATAATTTATGAATATAAAAATTATATAATAAACAGTTTAGCAGATATAAAAATCAATCTACCTCTAAATATGGTGTTGAAAATTTTATTGGTTTTTGTAATCCAATGTTTTTTTTCAATTCATCTATTATTGACAGATACTGAACCAATAAGAGCAATTCGTTTCGAATTCCTTTCAAAGGACTATTCTTCCATCCAGCATTTATTTCAGTTACCTGCAAAAATATTTGTAGAGATAATTTACATTTTTATGTAATCTTGTATATACATATTGTATATACATACCAAAGTAGTTTGTGACAATCTTAGATCTAATGTCAAATTATTTGAATACATTTCAATGCTGATACTTCCTTCATAATCTTTTTTGGCAGTTTTATCCCAATTAATCCTTTCTTGTTTGGTCCCAAATATATCAAAAATATTAAGCATGGATATTTTAACCTACACATATTGAAAGTCAGTAAAATTTTCAATAAAATATTAAATCTGATATTACATACATCATGTTCTTGTGCAAATGATTGCTCAAGATGTTCCTGTAAAATTCTGCGGCAATCATCTCTCTTTATAGCCATAGTCGTCATACCAGTAGAAACAGCTTCCAATGTGGTGAACCAATTTTCAGAAACACTAGCACCAATAAGCCTGCTCTGTTTAGCATCTCGTCCATCACAGAGAGCTAATATTGGCAAAGTATTGTTATCAAGGTATTCTAGACACATATTCAATGCATTGCTAAAAAATATATATAATTAGATATAGACATTTTGCAATAATCTTATATCTTATTAATAAAATCTTATTAAACATACACACCATGCATCCTTCCTGCTCAATGGTAAATATAACTCCTCTTCTTTTTGCCAATTCTGCCTCGTTACAATGGTTTCATCAAACTTATAGTTACCAAATGAATATTCCAAAGGTGAACCACTAACATCGTATTCTAAGGAACATTTTAAACTTTATATATCCACACAATAAATTATAGATGATGGATTATACTTAGGTATGCATTTACATACTCGTACATTCATCGAAACTTCGCTCTCTCTTCTCGCAGTCTGAAAATTGTACGATGGGAACCTAAAGCACAAATCGTTATATTATGTAGGATCGTGAAGAATAAAACTCTCTCACTTACATTTTTGTGAAGAATAATATACGGATTATCCTTGAGATCTGGAAACAATTCATCCACATATGATAATCTAATTTTACTAGCTCGAATATGCGATTGCAAGATGTTATTCAAATGGTCCATCTTCTTTCATACCGTGTAACTGCACGACTACGCGTAACATTGTATGGTTTAATTTGAATAGAGTAGGATCAGATGTGGCCACGAGATGGCACGCCTTTCGATTTCGCAAAGCCATTTTTCACGCTTATGATTACTTCACAATTACAGCGTTTTCGAATGAACGGATTTGATCGATCTAATAGCGTTTTCGAATAAACGGGATTTGAACGATCTAGGGTTGATCAATCACTATTTTACTATAAATGCAAGTCTTTCATTGGTGGAGAGGTTGCAATGACGTCATTAACCAATCTTGGGTCGTTCAAATCCTGTATAATCGAAAACGCTATAAGATTAATTAATGACGTCATTGCATCGTCTTCGCCAATAAAAAATTTGAATTCATAATAAAATAGTGATTAATTGATTCGCAATGGATCAAAATCCGTTTGAAAACGCTATCATTGGAATATTTTTATTAAGGTATATCCAAATTCTGAAATATGCATTTTATATAAATGATTTATTTGTTTGTCTCAATATATTCGTAAATATATTAATAATGTAAGTGTGTAGTACAATTTGTAATTATTTTCTAATATTTCGTAAACTTGCATATATGTTTACAGTGCGATATATTACACATTTTAATAAAATCGTATTTCTATAGAGACCAAGTTTGGATTCAATCATTTACGTTTCTCGCATATATTTTTACATTTCTTGCATAAAAAAAATTTTATTACCATTACGTCATTTCACATATATTGAACACACCAGAAATATTTTATTTATATATAAAAAATCAAACTGTTATTACAGAAAACGATTAATTTATATCCCTATCCCCGTTTCTAATATAATTAATAAATATATCATCACAGATTCTTATCTCAAAGTTCAAATTAAAATGAATTTATGAAATTAATGATAAAAAATTATTTTGAAACAATATTTAAATTCTTTTACAACAAGCTTCATGTTTCTGGATCCGGTGTGGCATAAAAGTTCTTTTGCATTGTTTACAAGGAATTAATTGTGCAGTGTGTTGCTCCCAATCGACTTCTTCTTCTTCTACAATATCTGAAACCCATTATATAAAATATATAGATACAGTAAGATAACTTTTGTATTCAAAGCTTGATTTATACAATTTATTTATTAAATTAACAACGATAACAGTACCTTGAATGTTAGAAGTTATAACTGTCATTTCTTTAATTGAGTCGTTATATGATTGAGACTGAATTGAGTCATTAATCTTTAATTTTTCATCTGCACATTTCTTACTGTTTGGTGGTGTCCGTGATAACTGATGTCTTGGTTTCATTGGATCAAATATTACCTAAATTACAAAAAGACAACAAATTATTACCTATATATCACATCCACATTAATAAATGCTAAATATTCTATATTGTGTGTATATTTGTAAAGTAACATGATATTTAATATCAATTTTTACCAAATCTTCAGAATTATTGCTTTCACAAGAAATAATGTTAGCTATAACTTCTGTATCATTTGTTACTGCATTCTCATCTACTTTCCCGATTAAATGTGGTTTTTCATCATTATTTTGTTTCTTCTCTTTTCTTTTCCTCCTAAGTGTTACAGTATTTGTACAATCTAAATCTGTTTGCAAGTTTTGTATCCTTATGTTCTCCACATTAGTAAAACTAGGATGGATATTATTAGTACACTTCTCTTGAATATGTTTGTATTTCTCTTTTTTTTTATTGTCATTATATATATTTTCTATATCTGAATTAAATAAGCCCTTACTATTCACAATTATCTCCATAGCTTCATTTTTCTTTGCACCTTGCTCTTTATAGGTTTTTATATCATTTCCATCAATATTTTCTTTGTTTTCATGATTGTGTTTCAATTTCTGATTTTGACATATCTTATCATCACATTTACATGATGGATTACATTTATTATTCTTTTTCACACAACCACATCTTGAAGAACAATTTCCTTTACAACCACAACTAGATATCTCTGTATTGATTTTGGGTATTAACTGTGTTGTAGGGCAAAATGATTTTTGTTGCAAATTGTCCAGCTTCTTATTATCAGATGTCTTCATATGTCTTCTTAAACAATCATTTTCCAGTTGTAAAAGTTTCATTTGCTCTTGTAATTTGGCAATTTCGATAACATTATCAAAATCTTCAGTCTGTGTTGCTATGCTTTTTGTATTGCTAAACATTTAAATTGCTATTATTATTATCATTTTCACAGAATATAGCATATATCTATTTTTAAAAGATAAATATGCAACGTTTTTAGATAAATTTCTTGCTTACCCGGACAATGAATATGCAATTCTTCGAGTTTCAACGTTCTTCGTTTTGGCTTTCTTCATTTTTTCGTTCTTATACTAAAAACTATTTCACAATACGTAGTTTACATTTAAAACATAGAGACATCCAACAATATCATCAAAATATACGTATTCAACAACCGTCGGCAACGGTCGAATAAAGAATTTAAAGCGGATTTAAATGAAATCCATAGATCTACAACCAGAAAGCAACCCGACAGTCACGATTTGGTATTTCCTGTTGCCTATAGTGCATTTCAAAAGTCTACGGAAAATTCAACATATAATTCTAAAGGTGCATTTAGTCTGCCTTGTAAGCGTACTTGCATAGAAAGCTTGACCAATCAAATGTCTAATAGCAAATAGGTCCCTATTGCTGCACTTTCGTTGTCCAATTGTGATTGGTTGACCGTTTTGTGCACGTATAATGCACCCGGATAATCCTGTGGCGCCATCACACATAACGGCCGCAATGCAGCTGATGCACTAATGTAGGCTCATTCATTCTTATTCTTACGCGTGCAACTGCCGGAACGTGATCACTCGTGTCTCTCTGCAACTCGTAGTCGACCGATCCATTTTCTTTTTAGTATTTGCGACGAAGTAAGTGAGTAAGATCGGCAATCATTTTGTTAATTTCACATATTTTTTCTACTCGCGATTGCATGATCGAGACACACCATCGTCGTGAAACGACGAAAATATCGTGAAGCATCGACGACCCCGTGATCAGACCGAATACCGATCACCGGAGTTTCAAGCCCCACGGCCCGTGCTATTTTTAATGTTTTGTACCAATTGTGAACGTGAGCAGAGGTATTTGAAACAAGGTATGTATTATCATTAATTTGAAAGGATGATAAAACGTGAAAATGCACGCTCTTCACGTGATTGATTCTGATATTGAGGTTATGTTACCGCGTCCACAAAATCGAAATCCGTGGATTTTTCATGTAGAATGTTCTTTCGAATTTCTTATAGAATTTTTCTCGTAGAGTTTTAAAAAGTTTTGAGACGCTTTACACGTGCTTGCACGTGGTTAAATGTGTTAGTAAGGTTACGTTATCGCGTCTTTTCGAATTGAAATCCGCAGGTTTTGCTTGTGGAATTTTTCATGGAATTTCTCAAAATTTCGAAATAATTGATGCATTCTGCACATGTTCGAGAAAAAACTCTTCTTGGCCTTAGTTTGAGAAATCTATAAACTTTTTTTAATTTTTTTACTTGAAATATTTTCTCGTGCATTGTTTACATTGCTTTATAAATTAATTGTAAAATTTAATTTTTTTAATTAAATCCATTTAATTCTATAAAATTAATTTCTTAAAATTAATAATAAAAGTTAGTTTGCAAAATAAATTTTGAAGTTGCAATTTATTAGTAGAAGATCAAATTTTCAGCTGAATCATTGAAAATATTATAATTCAGCTAACTAAAACAATGACTAAAATTTTACAATTGTATAACAAGAGTTATCAATGGCTCATTTTATTACTTGATTTTTAATTTATTTCTGTAACTTTTCACAGAATAGCATTCAAAAAGACAGTATAAAATTAATGCTTAGTGTTGTATTGTAAATAGTTTACTGTTTATTATACATGCTAATGCTTTATAATGTATTATATTTATGCACATGCTTTTAGCATATTAGAAGAAATAGTATTTATTAATATTACAGCAGACTTTAATTTTTACTTTTTTATCTTTGCTTATTGTTATACGGAAGGAAATTTTTAGAAAAACAGTGTTTTTTTAAAGATTTATGTCAATATATTATCTGTATATACTTTTAACATATTAAACAAAAATAACGTTTGTTAATATTGCAAATATTGCTTTCTAACTTTTAATTCTTTTTTTTTGTGCATTGCAACGTTGTAGAACATTTTACAAAAGCAATGTCCTTTTCTTTGTTTAAATCACTTTCACCGGAATTTTTTCCCTGAACCTTATATTTTATGATCCTATTGTTATGCTAAAAGATATTTCTACAAAAGCATATCGCTTTCTAACTTTATTTCTTATTTTTTACATTGTCACGCTGTAGAACATTTAACAAAAGCATTTTCCTTTTTTTGTTAAATCTTTACCTGAATCTTTTACCTGAACCTTATATTTTGCGACTATTGTCATGCTAAAAAATATTTCTAGAAAAGCAGTTTTCTTTTCTATTTTTGTTTCTTTTATTTGAACCATTTGTTTAATAGAATTCGTGATTTATGACCGTCGGAATTTGTGGTGAATGACTTTCCCTTTTTAACTTACACAGTCTCTGAAGGTTATGTCTAAACAGTGTCCTTTTTGTTATCACTTAGTTTTACCTGAACCTATTCTATAGGTTAGAAGTTAATGACCTGAGGTTTCAAATTTCCACGATCACAATCCATTTTTCCATGAATCTTTCAAAAACCATAAATTCTGAAATTCTATGAATTCATTATAATGAAAAATGGATTGTGACCGTGAAAAGTTAGAAATTTGGAACGTCCGGCTATTTTTTATTGTAAATTAAAGTATGATATTCGATATGTTGAAATCTAATTTTTTATTTAGGGTGTTCTTGTAACTCGCAAACTAATAAATATTATAACAAAAAAGTTCTTAAAAAACTAAATAAAAAATGTCTGCAATTTTTTAATTGAAGGGCAGTTTTTAAAATATTAGAATTAAAAATTCGCCAATCAGATTCTATGATTAAGCATGATGTAACTTTTCTCTAACTTGTGCATATGGCAGTATTAGTATCTTATATGAATAAGTGACTGCTTAATCATAGAACACCATAGAACCCGATTGATCAATTTTAAAATCTTGTATTTTAAAAACTATTGCTTAAATTAAAAACTGCAAAACTTTTTTTGACTTAGCTTTTTGACGACTTTTCTGTTATAATATTTTGATTCGCGAATTACAGGACACATTATACTGTATATAATTTCTTATTTCTGTTGTTGTATTTGAGCTTTTATAATAAAAGATTAATGTGAATCTATATGAAAAAAAAAAAACAAAGTAAAGTTAAAAAATCTACTGTACCATGATAATATAATTATTATGTAGTTATCATTAAATAATGTTTATATAGCAAAAAATTATACAACAATTATATAACCTTACTTGTTGAATACAACAAGTATGTCTTCCTAAATAAATTTGCAGCATATCTAAAAAGAACAAATGTGTGTGTGTGTGTGTGTGTGTGTGTTCAACCATGTTATATTTTCACCTTACTTTTTCAGATGGATCTCAAATTTGTCGATGTACGTGGTCTAAGTGATGATGACAAAAATAAATTATTAGCTATTCTGAAATCTGACACATTAAAATTGCCATGCGACGTTATAGAAAATAATGCCAATTCTGTGACAGAAGTATCAGAAGTATCAGAACTGCAACATTGGTACAATGGTAAAATTCTGTTTATATGTATAAATTATTAGATAAATTTTGTTTCGTACTTTTTATACTTTTTAAAAATAATTTAATGTGTCTAAAATATGATCAAAACAATTAAATATGATAAAAATAAAATTTTAATTTTACGAGATTTAAATATTTTAATAAAACAAGGCTGAAATTAAATCTTGCTATGGGCTAATGCAGGTTGTTTGTACCATGTATTTACTTTGCATATCAATGTACAAACGTTTCGGTCATAGTATCAGATCGTCTTCAGTATATTAAATATTTTCTTATTATGTCTCTAGTACAATGTATTGCTTAAACTCTTAACATATTCATGGATTTTGAAAGGCTTTTCAATAAATTACCACGCAAGAGCAATTTGCGTTGACCTATTTAATTTAAATCTTGTTTAATGAAATATAATATATTAATCTCTTGTATACAATATAAACTATATTTGTAAAGTTGAAAGAATATGTAATAATCTTGCAATATCTTATCTTCCATTTACAGCCATGACACCGACGAATGTTAATACTTTTCCGCAACCGCTCATGGCACAATTATGCAATGAATGGCCAATGTACAACGTTTCCACAAACGGCCATATGCAACCATATATGCCTGGAGTATTTTCATGTCCTGGATATCCAAAGCTGCATAATGTTGGTACCGAAATTCAATTCGGTACAGAAAATGAATGCCATAATAGTAGAGACAAAAATTTGAAAAGAGGTCACTACAATGGGACATTCAGTCCCATTAACGACATGCAATCAGGATATACTGGCGATCAAACACAATTCTCTCAAATACCGATCATGTATATTTATCCCGATCATTCCATTTCTACTCAACAGCATCAAGTACCCGCCGGGCAGATTTATTATTCACCGCCAATGTATTCGTCGATTCCTCATCCGCATCCAAATGCACAACCTATCTCATCCAATGCACAGACACATCCCACTTATTCTCCAAATCATCAACTTCCACCGATGAATAGCTGCGTGCGACAATCATCTGCACCACTCCAGCAGCCAAACCAGGAATTTGTAAAGCAACCGATCATCAAATCGCATGAGAAACCTATACAAGACGCATATATTCCCGATAAACCGATATCCCAACAAGTAAATGAGAATAACTCTTCGCAAGTAGCCGTCGTTGTCGCTGTAAATAATTCTACATCAAAGTCGCCCGTTAAGAATGTTGTCGAAAGCACTGCCAATATAAAGAATGTGGTTAGCAGTGAAAAAATTGATGCAAAGATACAAAACAATACTTCACTTACGGCAAATGAAAATTGTAATGGCACAGAAAAAGTCGAGATGACGCATGTAAGTAATGGCGCCGAGGCGAATCAAAATGGAAAGATAGATAAGAAACTGAAGAACGAAATCGAGTCCAATACTACAACCGATGTAAAAACTTTGTCTAAACCTACCTTGAACAAGGTAGAAAAAAGCAAATTATCGACCAAAGTGCAAATTAATGGTGCGCCAAAAGACACACAAAATAATATCGCTAAAACTCCCAACGGCTCCCCATCTACATCGAATGATTCCACAGCCACGCCAAAAACTTTATCGCCCGTATCTACTGTATCTCCACCGGCTACGAAAGCCGTTAGATCGTACGCTAGCTTGTTTAGGAAGAACAGCATTGAATCGCAGACAACTCCATTATCGAAGCCAGTACAGGTTGCTGAACAGAATGGATCACCAAAAACGCCAATCCAAAAGGAACCGACGAGTCCGAACTTCACTCCAGAGAATCAAAACGATTCACCCAGCACACAAACCACAGAAAACGATTATAAAATCCTGCAGAATGGTGTATTACATACTTATTACGATGATCCTAATGCAGTCAGGATGGGTGGTAAGTACAAAAGTTGATCCAATGTTTTTTTGAAATGATAAATTTTTTTATACAAATGTAATGTGTATAAATCTGTATAAAATTGAGATAGAAACATTAAGACATAGATTTCACACATTCAATTATTTAATATACATATATATATTAAGATAAATTTAATATTCGATAATGATACTTTAAACTTGCCAGCATGGTCTTGTCTGATAAAAACGATTGGTTCTAAAATAATTATTTGTAATTATTATCTTGTACGGATTTCCTCCTTAATAATAACCTCATTCATCAATCTTATTCTCTCTTTCCTCTTTCACTAATGACATACTACTTTACTATATTATTACAATGCAAATTTTTTAAAGAGGATATGATTCTTTTTTTTTAGAATTTTTGTCCAATTATCAAATGGATAAACAAACTGTAAGTTTGTTACCAAGGGGATTGACAAATCGCAGCAATTATTGTTACATCAATAGTATCTTGCAAGCTTTGCTCGCTTGCCCATCGTTCTACAATCTTTTAAAGGCTTTACCACTTCCCAAAGATCGAAATTCCAAGAGTTCGCCTACGCCTTTGATCGATAGCATGTAAGTATTAAAATAATTATGCATAAAGGAAATAATAACACGAGAACGTTAACTTATTATTTTTATTTGTTAAACAGGGTTAGATTCGTTCATGAGTTTACGCCTTTGGCAGAAGCTGCTCGCATGCCCAGAAAAGATCGGAAGGATCACAATAAGCGAGGAGAAGACACAGCTTTAGATATATATAGTGGCGTTGCTTTCGAGCCGTCGTATATATATGAAACGTTAAAGAACACTTCTGCTGCTGGTGCCTTTTCCGTGGAAGGACGACAAGAGGATGCGGAAGAGTGTCTATCGTGTCTTCTAAATGGCATCAACGACGAGATGCTAGAAGTAAGAATTTTTACACTCATTTATTACAAAGGTAAACTTTTAGTTAAAAGATATTTTATTTAATTTTTATTTCCAGTTGATGAAATTGGTTCCTAATGATCAAAATGCAGACACTAACGCGAATAATAATATTAACAACGATCATGATGAAGAAGAATGGCAGGTAAAATATAAGATAAAAAAAAATACCTAAAGAATATTTAAAAAATTATTATTTATATCTGTAGCTCAGATCTATATTGTGTTATACTATAATGTAAAATCTATCGCAACTGTGCCACAATATAGCTATTAAAATTTATTGAAAGCAACATCAATTTATCAAATCTTCGAATGCCAATTACATTTTTTTTATCGATGCAGGTAATGGGACCAAAAAATAAAGGTGCTATCACACGATGTACGCAGTTTGGCAGAACACCACTGTCCGACATATTCCGAGGACAACTGCGATCCAGAATATCGCGTGCAGGAGAGCAACCAACAGACAATGTACAGCCGTTTTTCACGCTGCAACTTGATGTTCAAGTTAGTATATTCAGAATTTTTTAAATAAATAATGTGTGATATATTATAGTACTCGTGGAGATAATTCGCGCTCGCAGAAAAATACAGCGATTTTTGAAAAAAATTTGACATTAAATTAGTTTATTAGAACACAAGTGAAAATAACTTAAACCATCACGATGTAAATCCTAATCGAATAGCACCCCAAACAACACAGACACAATAGTACATTTAGAATTTTCTTAATAAATTGACTTGTGATGTACGTTCACACATGTATCTAATGATTACAGAAAGCTGAATCTGTTAAAAGCGCGCTTGATATCCTCGTTGGAAAGGATCAAGTAGAAGGGATGACGTGCAGCAAAACCAGACAGCAAATTGAAGCGTGGAAGCAGGTTACCTTGGAAGAATTACCTGTCATTCTTATTATGCATTTGAAGTGGTTCGTTTACAAATTCGATAAATATTCCAATGGATGCTCGAAGATATTGAAAAGCATGGAATTTCCTGTGGACTTGAAAATTGATGGCAGTAAGTAAATTGAATATAATTCTAGTCTGCTTTATTTTAACTCTTTTGCCTTATACAGAAAAAATTTTTATTATGTATAATAACTTTGCAATGCAAGTTATACATAATCGCAATAAACATAAAATTTCTTGTCAAATGGCTACAAATGGAAAGTTTTTTAAACGTCTTCAAAATTTCAAAATGTTTTTGTAAATCATTCACTTATGAATACGCAAAGTACAAATATTTTGTTGCAGTTGTCAAATAATTTGGGAACAGAAGGATTAATCTCCACAAAGCAAATTTAATATAATTCTTTTTCTCTTTTGTTACAGAATTTCTATCGCCGAACACTGCGAAAAAATTGAGTCCAAAACAGAAGCAATACAAATTATTCGCAGTGACGTACCACGATGGGAAAGAGGCCACGAAAGGCCATTACATCACGGATGCCTTCCACGTAGGATATGGATCCTGGGTTAGGTACGATGACAGCACGGTGCGAAGTGTGACAGAGAGCAACGTGCTAAGGCCCACGTCGCCCCGAGTACCGTACTTGCTTTATTACCGAAGATGCGACACTATCGGTAATAATCAAACGAAGTAGTGCTAAAGAGCACTAAAAAAGTTGTAAAAATGTTTCTATAAATATTGTTATTATATATTTTATGTGTGTGTGTGTATATATATGTATATATATATATATATACACACATATCTATGATATTGTTATTATATATACATATAAAAAATAATCTACAATATAGTGACGTTATATGTAGATTATTTTTTATATGATCCTCCTGTACAGTAAGCAATCAATTCCAACTTGCCGGTTATTCTTTTTAATGCACATTAACATATTTAATATTTTATATTCAGCATATTCAATCTATAACAAATCATATTCATCCATTTTAATTCATTAAATCTTTTCATAAATTTCTTCCTCGTCAAGCACATTTAAATCGCTTCAATAATTAAAGAAAAACTGGCAAGACAAAGAACTGAAAATCAGGAAGATTGTGTATAAGATTTGTATTTAATCCTTAAGATTTTGTAATTAATCTTTCCTAATGCGATATTCGATGTTATGCTTCCGAATACAGCAATTACTCGCGAAATGAATATCGCATTTTCAAAAAAGATTAATAACAAAATACTTGTATAATTCGTACAATATATACATTTATTGTATCTATTATATTATGTATGTTTGTAATATAGATAAAAAATAAGATAAATATATATTCTAAGTTTTCAATCTAATTATAACTTAAACATTAAACATGATACCTCTCATCAGAGGCGGTTGCGAGTATGCTAATCAAGCTTCAGGATCCCGAAGTGCCGAGGGCCTTCGGTACACACAGATATAACATATTACAATAATGAAATATTTCTTGAACTTGTTCCATAGTTACATCATATAAATATGAAATGTTAGTTTTATGAATATTCACAAACTCGTTAAATATTTATAAATTAATCTCTTATTTTGTCCGAAAAGAGGGAGAGATCGAGAAGGAATCTAAAATCTTTGAGTAGTATGTATATTTCTTAGTATAATTAAATTTTGAATCGAGAAGTTTAAGAAATTATCTCGATCTCTCCCCCTTTTCTTTTCGGATCTTCGGAAATATAGATCGCCACTGCCTCTCATTTGTTTCGCATCTTGTAAATAAATATTTCAAGTTTGTAACAAAAGATAAAACTGTACATATGTTATACAAAATTTAATTATGGTTAAGAAATATATATACTTTCAAATATATATCGAGTTTTTTGATCTTTATCTTTTCTTATAAGATTCCTTTTATTTAAGATCTTGTGTTGGCATGTTCTTAATCATTATATATATTATATATCATTATATTATTATAGAGAAGATTTTATAAGAGAGAGACATATAAATTTCAGCATACAGATCATTTATACTTGCAGAGTATTCTGTGATCATTTTTAAGCTCAGACAAATATTAATGACGTTATAATTCAACAAATTTTAACTTTAATTTGCTAAGCTTTGAGCTTTTCTAAACTTTATGACATTGTTAATATATTCTCGCAAACAATGAACAATTTTTATCCTAGAAAGATAAATCTTAGAAAGATAAAAATTACTTTGTTGTGAATTTAATAAATAACAATATGTATATGACAATAAAATACAATGCATAATGTTCGGTCTTTGCACATATTGTCATACAAGCACAATAAGCGAAACAATTCAAATTGAGAAAGTTCCACCAACTTTTATTGCATTTCTATAACTATAATATACATAAATGCTGAAGAGAAGATAATACAGAATATCAAAAGTAGGTATGTGGTTCTCACTATATGCTGATAAATCTAAAATTATTTAAAACTTTCAAGATCTCAAACAATCGATATAAACATTTCTTCAAAGTTTGTTTAAAAAAAGTTATCTATATTTTATTTACATATTATGATCAACAAACATTTGCGCTGCGCGACAATTCGTTATTGATAGATTTAAACGTTCTCCTCAGAGCAATAAAAAATTCAAATGTTTGTACGACCTTGGACAACATAATTTCGTCCCAAATAAAAACTACTATGTACATGTATACATATAAATATAATACAAACCGATAATATAATACTCAGTATAAACTGAATATTATATGGAAATATCCGTAGAACATAATTATTACGAATTTGTACACGTAAACGCTAAAAATGTGGCAGACAGACTTTGCCCGCAAAAAGTTCCGAGATTACTGTAATCCATAATGCTAAGACGAACAAAATATAGGCAATTCCAACTTGATGCGAGTTAGGCAACTGATAAGGCTGCCCGCCGATTTCGTCAATGTGGAATCCCATTGGAAATATCACTGCTGCATGGCAAAACAGTACCACTGAAATTTAATCATTGGTTAGTGCGCACAATACAATTTGCTGCACTAATGTTTATTGTTTAAAATTTCTAAATAAAGAACAAAATTGTCTATTTCATACAATAAAATTATATTGCATAAATAGCATTTGAATAGTAACACTATGTATGTTACTATATTACTTATATTACTTATATAACATATAACTCATATAATTTACGTACTAGCACCAAATCCTACCCAACGTGCATAAGGAATGACACTACGATCCCAATGTGAAATGACCAGTAATATTATGGTTGCTGTTATCAAAATACAACCCACGAATATACAGACCAGTGCCATCAGCCATTCGGATTGCAGATCTGACTTATAACAGACTTGTGGTCTGTTATACAAGGTCATGCATGACCACATGAGACCTAATCTTGTATCGCCTGTTTAAAAAAAAATGCAAACATGAATAGTGTATAAGTTTCTGGCAATATAAAATATCTTATTTTTTATAAATTGAAATACATTGAAACAATTGTCTTGCTATCATAAAATATACCAAAACTGGATTCTATATTTTTGTAAAAAAATGTAACATGTAAAACTGTGATAGCATAATAAAAAGTAATGCCTATAAAAATAAACAAAGTGCATGTCTGTAATTACCGCCGACATCGGTAATGATCCAATCCGGCATGGCGATACTGATTATTGCGGAGATATCCGCAAGCAGGAACAATAATCCTGAGACGATAGTCAACTTATCCATTTTTGCGCTCAGGATAGACAATCGAGAAGAATTGGCACTTCATTCGGAGCACAACTGTCTGCCACCATATTCACGCATCGTAATGCTTTACTATAAATTCGTCTTGCAACACAAGCATTCTTTAATAATTGTGAAGTCGTAATGTCCTCTATGCAAAATGTAAAAACGCCATTATTTGACAAACGACAGCACCGACAGCACATACACGTAAATCAGAAGTAAACAAATCGGTATCCATTACTAATCGAAGTTACGCTCGAACAGGACACGTGACATTCAATCGATTAATCAAATATCGCAGAATCGATGTTCGATCTTTTTTTTTGTTCAAAGATCGATTAGTTTCAAATATGATTTCTTGTGTCAGACTTTTTTTTATGCAACATAGCTAAACTTTATTTATATATTATTACATTATTTACTTATTTATTAAAAATATTTTATACATACATATATAAAGACTAAATAAAAATAAAAATGTATACATAGAAATAAATCGCTTAAAAAGGAAAAATAACGCCGTAATGTAACGAATATTGACAAATAATTAATTAATTATTTTTTTAAGATTCAATCCATTGTAAAATCATTATTTACAATTTCATTATTTACAAACTAGATATAATACAGAAAAATTCTACATAAAGAAAATAATGTTAAATACAAATGCACATAGAGCTATCACAGTTAGAATGTGCTAGAATATATAGAATAATTTCGCCGTTTGAATTTCTTGCAGTTTGGTTCAGTTTGTGCACATTGTCCATTATCTACAACAAACAACACATAGTATTGTTTAATAATATCATTTGAAGTTTGCTCCCATTAAGAAACATAGCGTTAAATCCATAACGTTACTCGCAATCTCGTCATAACATTACTTACTATCTTCAGTCGAAGTGGATTCTGCAATCGTGGTTGAACTATTAACGCTATCATCTAAGACGCTTTTACTGGTATCTATGCAGTCCGAATTGTGATAGTCCTCGCTGTCACTCTTTGGAGATAAGTTTGACGACGAATTGTCGATGAAATATTTATTTGTCGAGTTCTCCTCAAAAGTAGAACTCAGTATATTCTCCTCTTCGAACGAAATTTCCATGGATTCGGACTCTGCATACTCACTGGATGTTTCCACTGATCTTTTGCTCAACTTATTCTTATCCTTCGTAGCGTTCGCGATAATCTGCAATAGAGCGCATGGATCATCGATACCCAACATCTCGCAGAATTTGGTGGTCTGATCGTTTATCATCAGTTGCGGCTGCTCAACTTGAGTTTTCATGTCATATGGATCATACGATTTGACGGTTTGAGTAAAATTGAGAGGAATTTGCAAGTCAGAATCAAACTTCTCATGCACAGTCTGTTTCTCCTTTGCGCTAGGCGTGTACAGCCATCTTTCAGCGCCAAATTGCCCAGGCATAAAGTGAAAATTGTTTTTGACGCTCAACAAATGATTCGTTAAATACAATATTGTTAACCATTCGAGATCATAGCTCAAATGTATCGGACCATTTTCCTGCGAACGTATTTCCAGTACTTGCAGAAACTTTCGCTTTGGCAGACACTTGTCGAGTGCTAAAAATTTTGTTACTCGCGTTCCTCCCTTTTCAGGAACAAGCGCTGCGAATTTACAGTGCAAATGTGCAGAAAACCAGTAGGATGGATGAAGATGTTCTAACAATTCCATGCATGGAGGACTACCAAGAACATTATTTTTTATATCATCCCTAAAAAGACAGAAATATAACATAATGTTAAAATAAAACAACTATTCTAATACAATAGAATTTGACATCCAATTTTATATTAATATATATTATATATTAATATATCACAAATTACTTACTTAAAATATGGTTTTAATCTCAGTAATGCGTTTTCATCTCCATATTTTGTTACACCTGTTGGCCAGTCATGTGAGAAAAAAATATCAATTTTGCCAGAGAGCTAAAAATAACATATTTATTATTTTATCTAAAATTATGCAGTTAGTATAGTAAAAATATGTAACTACTAATTTGTAGAATAAACAATAATGTACCTGTTTTAACCTAAAGACTTCTAAATTCCTGATATGATATACACTTCTTATGGTACTATCGGTATATGGAGGTTTTTCATGATGCCCCTGCGTCCAATGTTGACTTTTGTATATGCCTGATAGTCCTGCAATTCTGATTCCAGCCACTTGCACCACACCAGCATATCCTAGATAATAAATATTAGGTGCAACCCATCCTCCATATGCCAATTCCTGTAGATAATTTGACGCTTCATGATTGCCTCCGATAAAAATTGTCAACACTGGAGCTTTCTTCTCACCTGAATAATATCTATAAAATATTAAAAATATATGTCATGGATATATTCTTTTATTGAGATAAATAAATTGTTGATTATAAATATACAATCTAAAAGCTACAAGCAAAATTCTGAATTATATTCGACACCATAATGCTTCTTTTGCTAAGATAACACAATACTCACTTATAAAATGTACACATGTCCTTGTATTTATCTGGTACTGCCATACATTTCAGATCGCTTAAATTTCTGATAGCTTGAAAATCACCACAGCAAATAAGTAAATCTATCTTTCTCCCATCGACTTTTTCAATTTCCTGTATAGTCTCGTAAATAATTTCCAATTCGCCATGGGCGCAACCTTCTACGGCGATCCTCATTCTTGAAAGTAATTCGTAAACCAAAATCTACAATCTAACGATCAACATCACATATACATATATTCTTTTTAAACGCACGCTCGAATACCAGAATCGCCAGAATTGCGTATGACGCTTATATATATATAAACAAGACGCTGCAAGACGCTGCAAGACGCCTATGAACAATCAAATAAACAGTTCAGTAAACAACCACAGTTTAAGAAAAATACTGAGATTTGACGCCATAAACCATAGACGTAGTAGACTGCTCATGTCGCACTAAACTATGGCTGCGTTCCGTTTCGACGCTTAAGCCTACATCAGCCTACGCAATTTGTTGCAGCAATTCAATGGGCGATCTAATAAATTACTAGAAATGCTGTGTTGTATGGTGTATTTTTAATAGTTTGGTTGCAACAAATTGCATAGTCTGATGCATGTTTTATTATGCGTTTTAAAGGTATCTTCACATAGTGACGCTCGACGCTTGTTTTGAGCGACAAAATGGGTCATGTGATTAGACTTTAGATTATTATTGTTAGTATATCTATTAAAATTAAAATAAATAATTATATTATTATATGTAGTTAATATTTTTTACTTAAATATCAATTATAAATATTTAATAGCTATTATTAGAACGTTTCAACAAATAATAATTTCTTATTTAATTTTTATTGCGCAATAGATTTGGCAGGTTTTAAATAAAAAATACCTTTAATTAATAACTTTATTTTTATATCTTTATTTTTTATACTTAGTTATAGATATATTGTTCTTTATATATTATTTCTATTCTTTCACAAATATAAAATTAAACTTATTGAATTCATTGTTGACTTTTTCTGCCATTATAAAATATTAAAATTATATCTTTATTTTCATTTTAAAAAATTGCAAAATTTATTAAGCAAAAATAAGACACAAAAAGACTCTTCAAACGAAATTATTTTCCATAAATCACGCGTTATCTACAAAAAAACACGTTAAGCATAGTTTATATTGTCTATTATTATCTAATAAATATATAATATTGTATAAGAATATAAATTTTCAATATGTTTGTTTTATCATTTTTGATTGTAGAATTTGTGTAATAATAATAACAATTTATTAATAGTGGTACATGTTATATGTATTATTTGTATTAAACTTGTTATACCAAACAGTTAAATATATCTCAGTATAAAAATTATAGTAATCTTATGAATATTTAACATAATACAACATTTTGGCTTTCTATGATTTTCACCATTTTCTCAATGCGTGTGTACGTACTCGCAAAAATTGAAAAAAATATTTAAAATCTACATTGCAAAATATCATAGTAAATGTGTTCTGCGGTAATATTTAAAAATAACAAAATAAAGCTACAATTTTTTAAAAATATATGTACGTAACAAAATATAATAACGCATTGTAAATTAAAATCTCTATCATTTTATTTATGCAGAATTTTATGATTTAATTTCTTTATATATAAAAATTAATTAATTAAAATAAATTAATAAAAACTTATTCTCTCTAAACCAATTTATATACATCTACGCACACGCACATCTCAAAGTTAGCTATAATTTAAAAAATTAAAAAAATTTGTTTCTTCTATTTTTTTTCTACTTCAATTCATATTTTTCTTTCCGTTAGTTTTACTTTTAAATACGATACAATACATAAAATTATATTATTAATATGTATTTATATATTATGTACAGCATGTCTTTCTTGAATCCTGTATAAGATAAATACGACGTAAAGCGCTCGTTTAAAATCAGTATTTGATTCTTTAAGAAACTATCTACGTGACTTTAACCTATTCTTTCTTGCAACTCTTATTGACGGCAGTATAACCGACCAATACAGACTAGAAATATTGTTCAAGAAATTAGAAACTTTTTCTCATTATTGATCTCTTCGACAAAATGAATCTATCTTTCGGTTAAGATATAAAAAAATATAAGGCCTTTTTAATCGCTGTCTTCTGCATTTCGCGGAGCGCGAGTCAATGGTCGCCGACTGTCCTCGTCTGACCCATATATGACCTCTTCTTCTGAATCGTTGAACATTGAGAATGTAGGATTATCTTTCGTTATTGATGAGTCTACAATAAATGTAATACAAATATCATATAATTGTTTTGCACTTATTCTGAACAAGTTAATATTGTATGAGAAATTTTCAATATTTTCGTTTCTTTTCTGATTTTTTTCTTTTACATTTTTAAAAAATTTTTTATTCTTATTTAATATATTAAATTCTCGAGTACAATATTGTTGAAAATAATTTTTATGAGATACTCACGTTGTCCATAGACTTGCTGAAGTGCTGGCGCATAAACGTATGCCATAGTGTACAAATAAAAATTCAGAAGACCATAAAGGGCCATGAATTGCGCAGATGTGCGATAATAAGTGGAGAGGCGAGACGCAAAGCTATCTTCTAATACACCAGCTCCGAACTTACGAGCGGTAACCAAACTACAAACACCAGCAACCACCGCGGCTAGCAAAGTCAAAAACCGCAATCGAAGATCTATAAAATGAACGAAACATGGGTAGCGAAAGTAATTATAGATTTTCGGATTGTGAAAAGTTTAAGAGTCTCAAAACTTTTCTTATAATGCAAAAGATTCTATTTATCATAAAAAATATAGATGCGACCTTTGAAATTATTTTTAACATATAAAACAAACTTGATAAAATTTTTTTTTTATTTTGTCGAAATAAAAGCATCGGATAGCGCACTGTAAGATTTGTACAGTGGTAAAAATGTCATATACTTTTATTTTGATCTATTACTTCTATTACTATTCATTATACTATTCTATTTATTACTATTTAAATTTTTTTACTATTACCTTTTTATCTATTACTTATCTATATATTTTTATTATAATATAATTTTACTTACCGAAGTATGGCATAGATCGTAACTCGCTGTATGCTCTCAATATTAGAAGCAGCAAATATGCGATATAAAGGCCACCTACTGTAAAGAAAAATATCTTGAAGCCCTGGAAAGAGTTATGAATTATAAGAAATATAGATTTAAAACACATTTTAAGTCATGTTAATAATGTTAACAATTATTAATTGTTAGAACGGCGCACGGTTATAACTTACGTAGTAATTTGATGTATCGAGAACGTAATTGTAAGTGGGATCTTCTAGCTCGGTGCAACGAAGCCATGTTGCAAGAGTCAATGCTGCTCCCCATAACATGCCCACCACTAAGAGTTTTGGCAGATAAAATGTGATAAGTCGTCTCTCGTTCTAAACAAATAAGACAGACCTGAATTTGATGAACAACTGATAGTCTATTAATATATCAAGAAATGGCAAGTTATAAAATTCCGAATATTGTAAATAATTTTCATTAATAATATTACTTTTGTAAATCAATCTTAAAATATCTTTAAACGCTCAATTTTGGAGACATGCTCAAAATTTGCACAAATTTAAGTTCAATAGAAAATAATAAATCAACTAATTTAGTTTACTATTACTTTGATCTTAAACAAGATCAAGATTGTCATAATTAATGCATCCTATTTTAACAATTATAATACCTGTCTGAGACCATGATAAACGCAAAGCCAGAACATGAGAATGGCGCATAGAAAAGTTGTTTGCAAGATTGCGTCCAACATACCAGGCACCCAGGAATTCACTAAGAATGTCATAGGAAACAGCGGATCTGTCATTTAAAAAAATGATTATCATATCAAAAATTACAAAATATTGTGTGTGTGATGGAATATTGGAATCTCAAAAACTTACTATTGTACAGAATTAGCAATGGAAGAAGTATAGAAATCCACTTTTGCTCTATTGACCAATCATGTAGTGGATATTTTCTAAGCGAATGGCCAAACCAACACTGAAAAAGGTACATTTTTTCTTTCAATCTCTAAAAGTTTCAATTCCGTGAAAAGATAAAGTCGGTTAAAAAATTGCCACACACACACACACACAGAAAATTTTACGAACTTTTAAACTTATAAAAATCAAATATTAGTTGTACAACTGATAAGTTTATCTCCTTTTACTCAAATCTCTTTATATTTTATCATTTACTTACATTTTCAAATGGTACTTTTAGTATAGAATAAAATAGAACCATCTTTTTTTTATGAAATTCTTAATATATTGTTCATCTAATTTCGCGATCAAATATCGTTTTAACCCATTCATCTTTTTCACGTTTTATCATTAATTACCATCACTCCAAATGTGGTCAGTAAGAAGATCAATCGGAACCAGATCTCGATCTGCGTAAACGCTGGATTGTAGTTCTTAAACTGTAAACGCATGGAACAAAGAAAAACGTAAAGATAAAATAAGGCATTCATGTCCTGCAATTATATTCATTGAATATGATCATTTCGTGCAGTGCTTACTGACGTAGAAAGTGAGTTCTCGTATCGTGTATCGCTGGTGGAAGCTTTCAAGTCCATGGAAGCGGACAGTAATTATATAGTAGCTATAATCGAGAAATCCTAGATGAGCGACTACCAGTTCCTCACACGACTGCCTTTCGCACTTCAAGTGCCTAGTTCTGGAAAGCAATAATAACTATAAAAATTTCATATTATTATTTAATCGTAAAATTAATTTGTATTAATTTATGTATTTAAGTGAACAAATTAATCTCTTAATAACAAACAATTATCTCGGTATAATTTAAATTCCAGACTTTTTTATTTGTTATTGTATTTTAAATAAATTTTTAATAGCTTCTTACCGATTATGTCCTGCTTCCAGGGGTAATACGGACACAAGCTTCCGATCAACAGTGATGCCGTCTATGGAAACGCTAACTTGGAATCCTTTGTCATATCTCTCGTCTATAAATGATCATCACATTAACATTTATAATATCAAAATATAATTATAAAGTAGATCAAATAAATTATAGGTTAAATGTAAAAAAGGGGTGCATATTAAGACAATGCTACAACTCTTCAATGTTACAAATTTAGTAAAAGTTGTATTATCTTTATTAAGTTGCTAAATGTCTCGTACCTGACGCAACACTTGATCAAGTTTCAGATATGAGTTTTTGCTATTTTAAAAAAAATTTTAGACTGCCGTATTTTTCAGCAATCTCTTAATTTGCGGTGTTTATAAATTATCTCATTTATTCTAAACTTACATAAGATAAAAGTATATCTGTTTATTTAAATTCCAAAATTTATATGTATATAAATTTAAGCAAGTATTGAAATAGGAAAGCTGTTGGTTGAAAAATCTAACAAGAAAAAATAAGCGCTAAGAAATTATCACATAAATGTTTCTTACTATTAATACAAGTAACCGGAAATTATTACCGTCGTTATTTGATGTCGATAGCTTGGCAATAACCCATAATTGCTGGCTGTACGTGGATAATAGAGGCGTCTTCATGATAAATGGACCAGTGGCCATATCACTGCCGTTCAGATGCGCTTTTTGTTCACTAGTTGACGTTATAGGCGGCCCTTTAAAAACGTCAATGTTAGCATTATTTTTTATTATTTTACGAGGTTAATACTGCTGATATATAAACATCTAAAAATCTTGGACATAATTCAGTGAAAAATGACAGGTCGAAAAAAACGTATATCAGACGTCTATAGACGTTTAATAGACATCTAATAAATGTTTTTTCGATCTGTATTTCTCACTGGGAAATGCATGATTTATTTAATCGGAAAATTATTGCTACTCACCCGCAAGACCGATGAATACCGCTAATCCAAAGCATGCAAAGAAGGCAACGAATACCATAACAAATTCCCTCTTATGCATCGAATACAAACGCATCTGTACGGATCTATGTGGCAAATATACGAATTTAAATTAATGATACACAAATAAACAGAAAAAAGTTTGAATTATAACAGTAAATTATAGAATATAATATTACTGATGAGAAAAATAACAATTGTTTTACAATTAGATGCAGTAGTATCTCGTATCAAATATTTATAGCGATATAAATACAAACGTCGTGAATTATAACGAATTGATCTGTTTTTTTTTTGTTTTTTTTTTCTATAAACATTCAAAACAAACAAATTGCATCGGATATAAATATTCGATATTAAAATTCTTGGTGTAAAATATATCATATCTTACATAAAATAAAATTATACTATTATATTATTTTTTAAACAAGCTATTAAAAATTTGAAAATACCTTTCGCAACGATCATGATGATAAGCTGGCGCAATATACTTGTTAAATTCACTGAAAATATCACTAAACTGCGACAGTGCGTTTCTAATCTTGAGATTCCAACCACCGGATGGAAGATGATACGAGTATCCTAATCCGGAACCGTCCATCATTTTCAGAAAGATTCCGCAGAATGCCTTTTCCTAACGTTCCTGATCGCACAACATTTCTATTATTTTACAGATTGGAGAAAAATCACAGATTCAATATTTTTTGTAAAAAATGGCGTGAAAAATAATGAAATTTTATAAAACTGTTTTTGAATATGATAAAATTTGTAGATGCACATATTTCAAAGCTTTCCGTAATTTATAAAAGAATACAAAATATCGAAACCGTGTATTCATGGGTGTGGTTTGCTAAAAGACTAAATAATTTTCTTTTTACAAAAATGTAATAATATTTTACGTATTTTATATATTAATATTTGCATTAAATAAATGATACTAAAATATCGGTTGGTTCCAAAGATCCTAATAAAAAGACAAATTTTGTTTTACATAGTTTATTTGTGCAATATAAAAACAAGAAAACGTAATTGAATTATATATATATAAAGAAATATTTTCTTCCACGATATTACACGACATATTTTGCCATTTTTAATCAAAAATTCTATTAAATTTTTTTAAAATGACTAGTTGAAACTAAAGTAATTGTAACGCTATAAGCTTCTTTATAAACGTCAGATTTATGTTGTAACCCGCATGTAAACAGAAAACTTACCCTCTACTTTACTGCGTGATAATAGATGCTACTTCTACCTGTATTCTTGATAAGTACGTCGTGTATGCATAATGTTCACAATACACACGCGATTTCATGAATAAAATAGTGTATTAGATGTATAAAAAACTTAATAATATTCGCGTCAATTTTGCAAATCAAACGAAAATATGAGAGCGATCGTGAGAGCATGAGCGATGTACACGATGTACATCGTGACGTGTTATTGATTTTTACGCCATATTCCGTGAAACATGGTGAAACAGGGTTGCTAACAAAAGAGACAAAGATATCTTTGTCCTGATTGGTTAATTTCCGTACACTTCAATGTAATCTCTATTTTCAATGCATAATCGTGTCATCATAATGTACAATTGTACAGCAATGATAAGTTTTATATTTTCTAGATTATATACATCTACCTATGATATTATCAAGACTGGACAAGAGATTCGCGAAGGGAAAGATTTGAGAAATTTTTCCTGATTAAAAAACAAATCATTTGGATTATTTATACAATAATATAAAAATATTTATATAATTATAATGTAATATAATTTTCATTCATACGTTCATATCATTCATCATCTTTACATTATTTTGTTTTCTTTACAATATGTATATATCATGTCAAAAGATTCTTTAGTCCCAATACTTGATTTTTCCATCCCATCCAGCCGTGGCGAGTCTAGACGGTTCATGCGGATGCCAGAGTACATCGATACATACTCCGTCATGTGCCTTCCATTTTTTGTATAATTTCGTTGTTTTCCAATCCCATATGTAACATTTGCCGTCTGCATCGCCAGATACCAAGTAGCTAAAATAAGGAAATTTAAAAGAAGTATTTTTATTAAAATTATTTCTATCTAAATATGTGTTATTACTATAAATATTCTATTAAAAATTGTACAAAATAACCAAGATCTTAGTAAAATACTTTTGCTAAGATAACTATTTCCTTCCCATTCTATCTCGATCATATCAAACACTACATACAATACTTTTTTTGTAAAAAAAAAACCCTTGAATAGTTATACATAATTGGTGTAATATTTTTCTTTAATATAAATTACCTCATATCTGGAGAAAAGTCTAAACCACATGCATATCCAGCGACCATGTGTCCCGTAAAAGTTTTTTTCCGATTCATTTTGAATCTATTTAATGCTGAGAATATAACGATTTTATTATCCATACTTTGGCAGGCAAGCCATTTCTGATTACGCGATGGTGTCACCGCTGGCATAGAGTGCATAGATGGATCTGCTATGTATTTCATATCCACTGGAATGTCCCTATTCAAGGAAAGAATTCATGTAATAACAGTAATGATAGAGTAATATTATCTTTCGAAAATATGCGCATTAACAAAATCATACCATTCCCAAACTCGAAGACTCTTGTCGTCACTTGTAGTAACAAATCTTCTATTCTCATCGACAAACGTGATAGTATTTACTGCACCTAAATGCCTATCATATTCTTGTGTTATTTCACCAGAACGTATATCCCACTGTAACAAAATATATTTGTTAATTAAATGCTTATCAAATTAAGTATATAATTTTATACATTGTCACATTTTTATCATAAAGAATGAACAAAATTAAAAAAAAAATTGTTTTTACTTGTGCCTGTACAATCAAAATTTGAATTTGAAATTGCATCGCTTTCAACGAGTTTGAATGTATCTATGTATATTCTTTATGCTACAATACGTACACAAATAATTTTTTTATCGCTGGTACCAGCAACAAAAAGATGTTGCTTATCGGGATCGGGGTTAAACTTTGCACAGTACGGAATTTTTCTGCTTGTAAAACGACTGATACAAGCACCTGTTTCGGTATCCCATAATTTCACGTATCGATCATACGCCGCTGATAAGAATCGCTTGCCATCGTTATCGAAACTTATGTCACGCACCGCTTGCCGATGTCCGTAATATGTACGGACGCATCTTCTCTCCTTGTACACTTCCCACAACTGCACACAATAAGATACGTTAGCATACCATGTTATTTATAAATAATACATAAATACATATAACAGAATTAAAATGATTAAATTAAAATAATTATTATATTTTGCAAAATGCACATGAATGAATACCTTCACTCTGCAATCCATACTACACGATAATAACAAATGTGCTGTATGAGGAAACCATCGTATCTGTGAAATGCCCTTTGTGTGGCCTTCCCATGTGTGAATTTGTGCTTTCGGTAAGAAACAACGATCGGGTGGTGAATCTGATCTGAGATTTACGCCTACATCTTGAGGTGCATGTAAGAACGAGCGTCCTTGATAATCCACACTGTCCTTGACTGCAATGTAAAGTTATTAGATATTAGAAATAAATCTGACAAATAAAATTAAAAAGCTAAGAAGAATCAAATATCTTGGCAACAAAAATTGAAACATTTTCACAGATTAGAAAAGCACTCATCAAACTCTACAACTCTACTACTAATATATGTTATTCATTAAAAATTTTTTTATAATATGTAGGACATTACTGTGCAACACTGTCTTCTCTTCTAAAGGTTTCTCCTCTGTTTGTTTTCCTCGTTTATTTCGTTTAGCCAGTATTTCTTCCAATTCAGCAGCTTCTTCTTCACTTGGCTTCACAACTCGTTTTTCATCCACATATCCACCCCATGGTCCCAAAAAACCTTCTATATCTGCTGGATTATTATTTCTATGTCTCTTTCGTTTGTCAGAAGGTCTCAAAATAGTACTTTCAAATACAGTCTTGCCACCTAATTCTTCTGCGGCTTCCTTTGCACCAATTATTATTTTGCCTTCATCTGCACTACCGTCTATAGTTGGATCTAATGCATATCCTAAAGATAAAAAATTCAAATATTAATTTATATTTAAATATTAAGGATATATATTTAATTTAAACTTCAATATCAAATATTTAGATACAAATAAATCTATTTTGTTGCAATATATTATTTTTATATGTATATACTTATCCCTTATTTATCTAACACTTTTTAGACAATATTTTGCTTTAAGTAAACAATCCAACTGTTAAATATTTAGAAGACATAAGTCATTTTTTAAATCTTTCTAAACTTATTTATTCTTTCTAATTCATATCATAGAATTTGCATTTGTCCAAAAAATCAAAGATTAAATAAAGTATTAATTCTCTATTGTACAGTATAAATTTTATGTTACCATAACTAGCAAAAGTTCTCCTTTGATTTTCAAATTGAAATTCACTAATGTGTGCACTTTCTACATATCCAGAAAGCATATTTTTCACTGCACGTTGTTGTTGCGTTTTAAATGGATTTTCTGGTCCTACTTCGGGTCCAAAAAGTTCTTCGTATTTTGGATTGTGTGAAACTTCTTTTGTAGTAGGATCCACATGCTTTACACATAATTCTGTACCCTAAATATAAATCAATATAATTTTTAAGTTTTTTAAAATAATAAAAGAAAATATCTTTTTTCTCTTTTATATTGATATATATAAAATTTATTAAGGTTAAGTGATATATATTTATAAAGCGATATAATGTGATTCATATAATCTCAAAATATTTTCTTGACATAAAAATAAGATGAGCACACATAAATACTTACGGTAGGTACGACTTCTGGGGCGGAACAAACTTGTAAATTAATAGGAGTTGTCAATTTTTCAACAGAGAATGGTTTAGATATAAAATCAACGTTTGCATCTACGTTGCACTTAACCTCACTTTCAACATTTTCACGATTTTTTTCATTTTCAGTCTCACTACCCTCGTCGCTGCTACCATAATCCCTTAATGCAAGCATTGTAAATGTATATAAATAAAATCAATTTACTTAAAAGCTTAAATCTAACTAAGAAATCGAACAAGGATAATCAGGAATAATAAAATTAACCACAGTGAACTACCGATAGAAACTGTGTGAACTGTGCTGAACCATGCAACCAGTGATGCCAGTTCGAGCAATGTGAGCAACCTTGGTGGTGGGGACGCGCACACAAGCGACGACCATGTACATGTGCTGCAAAGAACGCTTTGCGCAAACTGTTAATAACAAATATATTTACAACTAAGGTTTTTGCTATCATTAAAAATATAAGCAAATCATTATCTTTAAAAAGATGAAGAGGAAATATTTATATAAAATACTGCCAAATCCCTCAAATATCAGCATATTTTATTTTTTAATTTTAATAATTAATTAAATATTTAGTTTTAATAATTAAATATTTTGTAATTGCTGCATTCACACGAATTCTGTCGCATAGCTTTTTACCCACGATAAATAATATTCTATTTTCTTTAAACACAAAAGAATACTTTTTTTCGATAAATTTAAATCGTTATTATAATTTTGCGGAAACCTTTTTGTAAATTCTTGATTACTGTTTGCGCTCTTATCTGTTGAAATTTCTTTCTTGGCTGCTGTTAGTAGCCTATGAAGATCAGAGAGTGCCGCAGATACATAAAGAGATTTCATTTCGGCACCTGGCCCATGCAAAATGGAAGTTCCAGCTTCTTTTAACGCTGTTATAATTTGCTCATCCTGTGGCAGCCAGTCATTCTAAGCATTTATTAATAAATATAAAAAATATATATATATATAATTATTCTTATAAAATACATATTTATTAATATGTAAATTATTTTGATACTCACATTGTTGATATTTTTTATGACTGATTCAATCGCAGAATTCACATCTTCGAAAACTTTATTGTTTCTCATATTTTCACATACAATCAGAAAAACATTTGTGGCATCCACAGCACAACTTAAATAATCTCCATAATAGTAAAGAGCTACATATGCATAAGCATATATCACATTTGTCATGTTAAATTGTACACAAGGTGATGCTTTCTAAACACAAATAACAATCCATTTAATTTAATTTTACTATTCTAAATAAATAAATGTATTATTGTCAATTTTATCTATTACCTGCAATTCATTAAATAAAGGTACATCTATTAATGTAGGATGTATTAAATCACTATGAGCATCTTTGCTATCTTCTTCAATTGATTGGATTAATTTTTTTTCAACACGGTGAGTCCACCATGGTGTCCACTTGGGCAATAATTTTTCCGCCTCTCCATTCTTTAGCAGTGCTTCAAATTCTTGTCTCTCTGCATCCGATAAAGCCGACCAAAGCTCATTTGGATCTTCAAAATTAACATTCTCTAATCTACTTGTTAAATCAGTGAGCTAAAAAATACATTTAACAATAAATATTGAATTATGAGTAAATGTTGGAAGTGTTATTTTTATTTACTTCTTCCTCATCATCCGAATCCAATGTAAAGTCTCCTTCGTCACTACTCTCATCCTCGGAATCCTCTAAATTAATATCCAAATCTGCCTCATGTACTCTTTTAAGAATCTCCATCATTTTTTGTCTAGCAATTGGGTCATTTTCTTGAGCTTTTAGATCATCTTCGACGCATTGCTTGTAAAAACTCTCAGAACAATCTGTGTGTACATCTGATTTGTAACACTCAACACCACAGTAGCCTATGTTGCACCGAGGACAGGTATACAACTGTATGCGTTCATTACACCTAAAATAAAAAAAAGCATATATTGATAATAAAAGATAAATAAGATTAATAATAGCTCAGTATAAATTTACATTTAAATTTGCTACATACAATAGTAATAACTTAAATTCGATATAATAATAAAAAATGTAATGATACAAATACTTTTTGCAAATTCAGCAATCATTGCAATCAAGCATTTGTACAAAGCGTTGTACTTACAATTGACAAATATTAGCAGCTGAACTTGTGTTGGGAGATTCCATCATTCTAAATCTTTCTCACAAAATTCTATTATCGCGATAAACAACAATATTTTGATTTAGTTATTCCATGTATACTTTATTTTTAGCAATACATATATATACCTAAAGAAATTTAAAGTGACGTAGAGAGGAAATCAGGGCATCGATCATATAATTTTTCCCTAGGAGCGGAAAAGTGAAGCGGACGTAAAGATTGAAATTTGACCAATCAGAACAAAGAACTTTTGGCTCCTTTTATTCCGATTGGTCAAATTAAAATCTTTAATGTTCAATGCATAGTCTGATACGAGCTTAAAAGCCAGCCGAGCGGATTGTGAAATAGAAAATATTCATAAATGGTGATGCGCTCTCTGTCTCTCTATTCTCTCAAGATTTGTTTGCGTCGCATGCTCCAACATGCTCTTACTCGCTCTAATATGCTTCAATCTATAGTATTATGTTATTATACTATAATTCCGACGCGAACAAATTTAGTATGTATGCACGTATAGAGTTCACTGGAGAAAAATGAACTCTATTTTACCAATGCGTTTATTTGGTTCGACATTATCATAACTTTGTTATTTTTAATATACAAAGATGTCACTCCATTAGCAGTCGATGGTTTTGAAGCTCAATTAATTACTTACTGTATACGATTTAAAAATGTACAAAAAAAAATGTACAGTGATAAAGTTGTCATTTTTGTGCTTAACAATTCTGTATACAAAACGCAATTTTGTCGCTTCTTATCGTGCGAAACACATTGATGCATTCGCTTCTTATTGTGCAAGCGCCATTAATAACTGCGCAACCTCCCTTGTATTTTTCCAATTTCCCCCTTTCTCACTTATGCGTCTTATGTTAATCTACACATGCACATATACATACACACGTTACGCATTTTCTTTACGTACGATAAGCGTGTTATCTTTATCACGGTCGACGTAATGCGTAACTCGACCGTTTATTGGTAGTCAGCGGATTTGCGTCCGCCTTTCTATTGGTGGCTTTCGATCAACAAGAGGAAGCAACACCTAGCATGATGTTATGCGTCATTCCGAGTGCAGCAATCGTCGGTTCTCTAGCAAAAACATTTGGAGTCGAGCCAATCTTGCTGAAGTATTCACTTTTTTCGTTTCTTTTTTTTTGCCACAGACGTTGCGAAACATTGCATTTGTTTCGCTGACAAAGGAATTTATTGCCGATATCTCGAGTAGAGTACGTGTTCCTGAGGAGGAATCCTGCATATCGCAATCAGATACCTTACTGATATTACAATTCCACCAGCCTGTGATCTTCTCGATTTAAGTCACCAAGGCGCTGAGCTTGTTTATTCCGAAAGACGGGAATTGCGCAAAAACACGTATTATATATAATCCTTATCCGGCTAGCGTGTCGTAACATAATCACGGCGGTCGCGATACAATCACGCCGGTAATAATTAGCACAAGGTGTGCCACATTGTGAAAAACGTCAAGTCCGGGGAATTCAGTTGCTTCCTTTATCCTCTCGAGTGGTGGTACCAACGCTTTCAATCGGCTCTCAACTGGTCGTGTGACATCTTCGAGGAACAATTGGGAACACCCAAGTTTTCAACATGGGTGTTGAAAATAAGGTATTTGTTATATCGAATATTTACTTTATAAATTCTTTTTAAAAACCTAGAATTTATCTAATCGCATGCTTGATATCGAAGCGACAATTATATTGAAACGCATTTCTTTGTTTACGAAAAAAATAAATAAAATAACCTTGAGGTCTTTCGATACTTTTAATACGCTTGATTTCCTCGGAACTAATGAAGCGTTATTCATTTGTATGAAGAATAATCGTAGTTAGCTATTTTTGATCTTGAAACTTCTATTTATTTTTAAACGTATTTTGCACGTGTTTTTTTTTTCTTTTCTTTTATCTCCCTTTTCCATAACATCGACGTATTTAAATTTGTAAGTATAGAAAAAATGTAAAAAACAAATTTTTCACTATTGAGCAAAATTGCGCTTTAATTATAAAAATCTGAAAACTATTAATTTTAAAATTAGCAAATTCCAGACCATCGATTTAGTTATTGATAAAATTAATTTGACTTTAATATAATTAATTAATTAATTAATATAATTAATTAAAGCTGAAGTTAATTTTTATTAATTATACTTCTTTTACCTTTTTTTTTAATTTTGTTTTTTAAATTAATTTTTATTATTTTTAGTTTTATTATTAATTCAAAATTTTATCGTCGTAGAAACGAAAATCTGCTAAAATGCATTTTTATTTACTTTTGTATGCCAACTCATGCTAATAAGAATGTGTTTAATTGCATGCTTCAGCATAATCTTATCAATTTTTGCTTATCTACCGTTTAATCTGTTAAGTATTGTTGAAGACAATATGTCAATATTTCAAATGTGATGTATGCTATACGTGTGATGTTCTTTCGTTACACGCGCTCAAGGTCATAAAGACAAAATTGCAACCACAGTCTATCCATTTATAGGAGTTGCAACTTCCTGAAAAACAGAGTGATGTGCGTCATAGTAATTATATATTGCAGGAAAACGATGCGCAAACTGTATTTTCTATATCTACATACGATAAATGTTTCTTATTTTTTGCCGCATCTAATCTGTATTATAATATATGCATAATATATGTATATGCATAAACATTCGACACATTTGCAGAATAAATGTCAAAGTGCAAGTTTTATTTGATAAATTTGTTTATAAAAGTAGATCTATAAAGAAAGAGGAAAAGAAGAGAAAAATTGTAAAATAATATAAGAAATATAGCAAACAAGTTCAGATATCACGAATCTCAATTTCGATTTGATTTTGGTTGTATTTCTCACTATTTTTGTATATTTAAATTTTTTTAAGACATAAAAAGAGAGCATCTTTTCTCTGATAACATACGAGATCTATAAAAGTACTTTTTACATTTTTAAAAATAGAACTTTGTTAAAATCAATAATATTCGAAAGGAGCATAAAGAGCCAACAGCCGGTTATTCGTGCGAAGGTTATCGTATATTAGTTTTAACCATTATATTTACATTAAAACAGACGTTTCAGCCTGTCGTCAGGCCTTCCTCAGTATTATTATACAAATACAAATAAAACGCAACGCATTAATTAAATACACATTATAAGAAGCGAAAAAAAATTCTTTTTACAATCCATAGTTAACCGAAGAGTAGTTCAAAATCTAACCACGTTAGAATTGTAGAACTTTGTTAGTTGTTATTACGAAAAATTTGTTTGTAATATCTGCGTCGAATTTGAAAATGAAGAGAACAATGCGCTTGATATCGCATGCACAGAGATTATCACTATTAACGCCCACCTGCGTATCTTCAGGAATTTTTATTTACAAAAGTATAAAAGAAATAATTTATTGTAATGTTCTTTAAGGACTGTTCAAGTGAACTTGCATAAGCGTATAAAATAAATACGCAGAGAGTGCATCAAATGCGTAATACAAGCGTCATATTTTATTTCGCATCTAGCTGGATAATTTTTTTCTATGTTATCATGCAAATGGCTAGCTCAGCAAGAATATATAAATTATGATAATGATATTAAACATTGACTATGTATTTATTTGAATATAATTATTAGCAATTTGTGGAATTCGTTAATTGAGAGCCACTGCCTAGTAACGTGACGTCAGGTGACGTCCGACGCATGCGTTTTTTTCTATGAACAGCTGATATTTCGCTACCGAGTACCGTGATTTTTGGCAAAATCTTTATTTGCTTTATTTATAACTATCACGGGGTCATCTCCCCACTTAATAAACAATTTTGAGAAACGTATTACATATCATATTTCGTCATTTTATCAGGATCGTGATTAAATGACTTTTCAGTAGTTGGTGAGAGAAAATTGTCTTAACTATTTTAAGCAAAAAAGAGATAGTCATGCACAGTGCTTCAGAATGATTGCAATTGATATTTTTTTGTTTAATTGTTTTATTGCAATTAATGTTTTTTTTATGGCAGATGTCGGAGAAGAATCCAGAGATGAGAGAAACTGCCGCAAGAATTTGTCGCGATTACTTGCACGGCGTTTGGAAGCACGTTACTGCGGAAAATATCATTTTTAAACGTATCAGGTGTGTGAGAAATTTCTGTGTAAGAAAATGTGCAATGAAAAATGAAGATCACGATTCAATTAAGCAGATACAAATCACTGAAATTATGGAAGAATTGTAAAGAGTGTATAATTATTTTCAGTGGTGGTCTTAGTAATTGGCTTTACAACGTGGAGCTTCCCAATGGAGCGGTTCCAGTCAGAGGAGAGCCTCGTCAGGTTTTACTACGTCTATATGGACAAGTACACGGGGAGAGAGCCTTGGAAGGACTTATCACGGAATCTGTTATTTTCACTTTACTTTCTGAAAGGAGACTTGGACCTAAACTACACGGAGTATTTCCTGGTGGCCGCATAGAAGAGTACATACCCGCCAGACCTCTTCTCACGAAAGAGCTAGCGGATCCGACATTGAGTTTACTAATTGCGGAGAAAATGGGACAAATACATACAATGCAGATACCAATCAGCAAAGAACCCACGTGGATATGGGACACGATGAATAACTGGCTTAACACAACGACAGATATTCTTGAGAACATTGAAGAAGTTGATTCTCGGCAACTAGAGAATGTCAGTGCAATAAAATGCATAGACCTGGAACATGAAATTAAATGGTTCAGGTGAGTGGAAGAAACTAAAAAAAAGTGTTTAAGCAATTGTAACTTTACAACTTTACAATTAAAATACTGTAAGAAGTAAATGTATATTGAAGTTTTTTCTTTAATATTTTTAGTACACTTGTGATGCAGCAGAAACATCCGGTCACGTTCTGCCACAACGATATGCAAGAGGGCAATATACTTCTGCGTCAAAGTACGCGAAAGCCCGAATTAGTGCTCATTGACTTTGAATATTGTTCCTACAACTATCGAGGATTTGATATCGCCAATCATTTCGCGGAATGGCAATACGACTACACAGCAGCAGAATATCCTTTCTTTCATGAACGTCTCGCTGCTGGTCCCTCAAAGGAACAAAAGGTAAGCTCGAAATAATGAAAGAATTAACAGGCAAAATAATGGTAAGATATCTTGATTATCTGTTCAAATATGCTTCACCCAATGTTATCATATCATGAAAATCTTTTCTATCCATTAAAATTGAAAAGTTTGTAGTAATCACAAAGAAAATATATATCATTGCTAATGCAGTGGCCATAATTTAACTTTTCATGAGGGAATTTCTACGTAAGCAACGGAAAATTCATGAACTTCGATAGTAGTTAGATTTTTTTATAATTAGGGAAATCAGTTTATTATTTTTCTTTGGTTTTTAATTTTATACTATTTTATTGAACATTTTTATATTTAATTTAAATATGCACATTTAACCAAGAAAATATTAATTTTTATTGCACATTTTATATATCAGAGAAATGTAATATATAAATTATTGCATTAATCAAAATTTCCTGATATTTTTTACACGAGATGAGGTAGTCTTTGACAGCAAATCATGTTGTTCGGTACTGTGTCAGGACAACAATAGGTAGGATGTCGGCTTGGCGTGTGTTGCGTGTGTATATATTAGTTTCACAGGACCGCAATCCATCAAGACAAGGCTGATGCCTGCAAACAGAGAAAAAAACGACCGGCAATGTGAAACTGTCCGTGTGATGGAGCCTGACTCGTGCGTGCTCTACATTTGCGGAAACCAGGGTGCCACCGGTGCCACCGTCTTGGCGACATCAGTCCGCTCGCCTACGATTCTAGAGTACACTCACCTCACTAGTCAATTCATAGTCTGCGTACCTTTACGAATGTACCTTTATTTGGTAGTGGTAAAAGTGCGTTATCTCTCCCGTTGGAGCAGTTTAACCGACGCGATTTTTATATGCATAAATAACTGATTTTGCAAATGGTTCAAGATTTAACAGGCTATTATCAATAATTTGTCAAGGAATATTGCTACAGGGATTTACAATTATTAAGTAAATAGGACGTACATTTGTAATTTACATATTGTGGATAGGAATAATTTGTACAATCACCTTTTCTTGCATCAGTATTAATTTACAATACGAAGACTGGAATCAATTTATCAAATAAGGAAATACGCCAAACTTCATGCTCTTTTTTTTTGTTTACATATGCATATTATATTTTGTTAAATAATAAGTAGTGCTTCACATATAAATTAGTCCTTTTCCTCATCAAATGCCTGATATTTACATTTCGTTTGTCAGTAGTTCAAGTTATGTGTATGTCTAGTTCTACATTACTGTAATAATATTGTGTGTTATACATACTTGTAAAAGCTCTTTTGACAAACCGAATAGTTCTCGCAATTTCATCGCATTTCATTGAATACTTTCAATGTGCAAACAAATCTATTTAAAAAAAAAGGTTACTTTAACAATTATTAAATAAATTAAAAAGTACAAGAATAATCCTTTACGCCTCCTCTTTAATACATGGTTCTACAAATTGGCTTTTCTCGACAGCTCAACTTCATAAGAGCCTATTTGAAAACACTGGGGAAAGAAGGATCTGTGGAGGAAGAACGAATCATGCAAGAAGTGAGGGTATTTTCGCTAGGTAGCCACTTGTTCTGGGGTCTTTGGAGCATCGTAAATGCCAAACTTTCAGAGATTCCCTTTGGATACTGGGTATGTATATATATATATATATATATATATATATCGGTTACATTTATATTCGTAAATAATATTTAGAAGCTCGGATGTCGGAGCGCAAGACCTATTAAAATATAAAATTTGTATATTTGTATAAATAATATTGTCTTTTTTTACGTCGTAGCTTCTATTTTTCGACTATTTTTAGTTAAGTAATAGATCCCTTTAACGATTTAAGCATTGTTGACATTTTTCAGGATTATGCTGTCTGCAGATTGAAGAATTATATGTATCTGAAAGAGAAGATCCTTGCCTCTGGACCACCAATTTCAGATGGCAGTCTTAAAAGAAAATCTGGAGAAATAGATTGAAAGAATAAGATCGAATGATGAGTGAAATGCATTTGCGACTTATATAACGTTATATATCAAACTTTAAAACTATATGACGTTACATATCAGACTTACATGACGTGCAAAAATAAGTAGCTTTATTCGATCCATCAATTTCAACCGATAGCAGCGATAAACCTTGAGGAGTAGAGCGATTAACTTTTTTAACGGAATGTACTAAATCTTGTTCTTTCATTCAGCATCGTGAAATAATGTCCTTCGCTGCTTTTTAAATGCATAGACATGCTATTTCGACGCAATACACGCAAGTAAAACGGATCAAGATGGAAAGTCAACCATGTGATATAGAATAAATATGCACTTATATAGAATATATAAAGTAAATGTACGAATATTTATTTAGTACTTTTAATCGTTTATGTTTTTACTAAAACTTGCTAGTACGTACTTAATTTTGTTTTTTATTTACAAGACTAGACGTTTAAAAAAATGTTGACACTTATACGTAAAGAATAAAAATTAGAAAATTATATATAAAATTACATGCTTAACCAAATTATGAGAAAGCCTGTGATTTGTAAGTATATTATTTAATTTTTTTTTAGATTTTATATATTTATTATAAGAGGTTATTTCTAATTGTTGTCAATCCATATTGTATCCATGCTCAATACGCTTTGTTTATCATTGTTATAATAATTGTAATAAAAATTACTTGTAAATAGCGCAATTTTTTGCTACATAGTACGCTATTTTTACTTGAAGTCGTATTATATTTAAATATAAGTACTTAACATTAGACTTAAAAAAAGACAACATTTGACATTTTTTCACAATTATTAATATATATATCAATATAACACATCGAGAATTGGGAAAATGTATGTCTCTCGAATGTATTGTATTTTCACGAATTTCCAAATAAAATGTTTGTTTTTATCTTAGATTTTGTTATTCGTACCTTCCTATTAAAAAATTACGATTAGCACTAACAATTTTGTCTTAATACAAAAATGAGAATTACAATGAAGATAAACGTGTACAAATGTACATGTAAGAAATAATAGTTTATATTTATTGGCGTTATGTTAGAAAATTGATTTTACAATTACAAGTGTATGAACCTGCAGCTCGCTGACATAACAAACGAATAATGATGGTCCAGAAAAAGCTTTCAAAGAGTGAGGATCTCAGAGGCCCTAGATTCCAACAGTTTTTCCATTGAACTAACATCTTTGCACCATCCGTCTAGACGTTGTACCATTCCAGCGATCTGGCTGCGATCCAAGACCCGTGGCTGTACCCAAGTCATGTTAACAGTGCCCGCTACTTGGTCTATGGCACCTCGCACTAGACCCTGAGCAAGAGCTTTCATCACTAATAATTCCACTTCGCCGAGAGGTAAACGCGTCTCCTGAGAAATCTCGGCAAACGTCAATTGTCTGAAATGGGAAAAATCGCACGTTATCGCAAAATAAGTTAATATTTAATTAGACAATTGAAATTTATATGCATTACGCTCCAGACGTTATGTCATATAATACATACCGATTATTGGCTTGCCGTTTGAAAGTCATTTCCATGAGGCATAATAAAGAGATCTTCTGTCTCAATTTTAATTCCTGCGCTGCTAGATCAGCCACCTTGCACCATTGCGGCTTCAATCTTTCCAACGCAACAATGTCGCCGGCGTTAAAGGCCTGCAGCAAATCTACGAGCCAGCCATTTGGCGTGCCTTTTAGTGATGCCAAGACTGGATGCGCCAGTAATTCCCCAAGATTATAAACTCCTTCTCCTAAGAGCGCTGCTAGTCCAAGGAAGAAGGCATGTTGCTCTTGCTCTTGTCTGCTCAAACTACTCAATTCAATGCAACCTAGATATCTTAATAATAATAAAAATATATTAGATTAAGATAACTGCAATTGCAATTGGTATAAAATATAGTGTAAAACTTTTAATGGGATTATGCAAATTATATAAAGATATAATAATTATACAAAATTAATTATATTAAGAGTACCTCAATGCTGTGCGATAATACTCTGCATGTTTGCCTTGCAATCTGTACAGACGGCTGGCTAGAAGATAAAAACGTCCATGAACCGTTGTAATGCCATCGGCATTATCTAACATAGCCTCTACATCCTCGATAATCTTCTTTGCTTGCTCCTGATTATTCAGTTTATCCAGTAAGATCTGTCCTTTGAGGACTTTACAGAGAGCAATTGCTTCATTGTTGCTCTGAACCTTAGCCTCTGTTTTCTCTAAGAATTTAATCGCCTCTTGCTTGTCTTGAAACTGTTGTATTACATGGGCCAGTATTTCCACCAATGACAATGGATTTATTCTTCACATAAGCGTAAACAAAAGTTTAATAAAAAAATAAAAAACAAAATAATATAAAAAATGACAATGTATGGAATACCATATAAGATCACATTTTGATTTAAATAAGAATAGCCACTTACTTGTTTTCGAAAGTTGACAGGAAATTAACATATAATTGCACGAGGTTATCACCCTGTTGGAGTGCCGGATTTTTTACAAACGTTTCCAATTTGAGCGTCAGCTGATGCCAAAGTCTGCAAGTCACCCGGCCCAAATGAGCAACACTCCATTATTTTCAATGTGAAATCTCCGTATATAAAAATATTGTATAATCGAATTACCGTTTGCTATACAGATCCTCGAGCTGCGCCCATTCTGCGGCCAACTCCTCGTCGGCAACATTTTGCTTTTGGCTAAGAAAAGAATTAACATCCTTCACTTGCACGGTCGCCCCCATTTTTGATAACAATACGAATGGTACAAAAGCGAGATAGAAGAATGGCGATATGTCATGAACACTGAACTCTATATTAACTGGAAAGCGCCGTACGGCTCAAGATGCGGTCAGACAAAGAAGGCATTCGTATTGTTTTGTCTCTTTCTGTTGTATTCTTTCTCTAGGAGCGGAAAAGTGAAAAGTTATACGTAAACTCGATGAATAGAATAGTCGAATTTACGTGAAAATTTTCACTTTTCCATTCCTAAAAGAAAATTATATGATGCCTTGAATCAAATAAAAATTTATTTTTAGGGACAAATATTAGACAAAGTCCCTAGAAAGGACACTTTCTTATTGGATATTAGAATTTACACATTGAACGTGTAGGCAGTGTAAATTCTCCTTCAAGTTTTCTTTATTTTTGTTCTTCACGTTCAAAATTATGCCAGTAAACGCACCAACGTCAAAAAGAATGTTTTTTAAAAGCTAGATAAATCTAAATTCAATATTTAAGTATTTCATTTTGAGTGTGTTATTCCATTATGTTTAATGATACATATATGTATTTTTTGAAGAAAAATGTAATTTTACTAAAATATACGTTGTAAATTTACATTTTTACTATAATGTTACAAATTCTTGATTATGAATCCGCAAATGTCAAGCCATTTATACTAAAAAAACACAACGTCTTGGTATTTACTTTTGACACATTGTAGACGAAAATATATAATCGCACTAGTAAATAAAGAACATTATTTACAATTTAATACAATGCAGAGTAAGCTAAAATTTGTGTTGAAACTATGAGTGAACTTTTTACCGTGCAGGGACGATTACATTCAATAACGGCGACTGTTTGTTTCCTACAATTACTTCCTTAGGAACTAATACATAATATCAGTTTAATATTGTCTTAATATATTACATTTTACAGATAACGTTTACATTGGATAATGTGTCTATAACTGTACATTCATACAATTGTAATATGTAACGAAATCTAAGCATTTCAAGGTATAATTTTAATATCTTTAGTTGGGACTCTAAATACAGAACAGTGTGATTACACTGTTGAGAATGAGAAGATGAAGGCACATCTTCACTCAAATCTAATTTCGCTAGCGTTGAATCCAAAATACAATTTTGTCACCATACATTCCAATTCTACTCATTAAATTTCTATCGAACCGGCTAACGTTAAAATGTCAATCTTTGACAATGACTGGCTCTTACATCAACATTCATTATGAAGAAATAGATTTATGATGGAGAAAGAGCGGCAACTCCAGGCAATACTTTACCCTCCAGGAGTTCGAGACTCGCACCTCCGCCGGTGCTCACATGACTCACTTTATCCTCTGTTTTCCATTTAGCTGCGCATGTTGCTGTGTCTCCACCTCCAATAATAGTGATTGTTCCACGAGTTGTAGCTTCAACGACATTGTCCATTAAGCTCTTCGTGCCTTTACTGAAATTCTCAAACTCGAATACGCCTGCTGGTCCATTCCACACTATGACTTTTGCTCTCTTAATCGGTTCTGTGTAAAATAATATCATAAATAATACATTTAAACTGCATTTATATATTTAAATATATTTCCCAAAATATATATTACAAATTAGCAAATATTCATAAAAACACACTCACCTGCAAATAAGTCTCTTGATTTTGGGCCAACATCAAGACCCATCCATCCATCAGGTATACCGTTTTCAATATCTGCGGTTCCTACTGCTGCGTTTTCCGCAAATTTATCGGCAGTCACAAAATCTACCGGTAAGTGAATTTGGACATTATTTTTCTTTGCTTTGTCTAACAAATCATTCACAATTTTTGAACCTTCCTCATCAAACAATGAATTTCCAATCTAAAATCATACAAATATAAAAATTAGAAATATTATAAGCAGTGCTACTTATAACTCGAGTTAAAAATACATACTTTCATATTCTTGGACACTTTTAAAAATGTATAAGCCATACCACCTCCAATGATCATCTCATGTACTTTGTCCAGCAAATTGTTAATTAATTGAATCTTATCAGCAATTTTAGCTCCTCCGAGTATAGCCAAGAACGGTTTTTCTGGATTATCCAAAGCTTTCGCAAAATATTCAAGTTCTTTTTTCAATAGAAAACCACTTGCTCTTGTATCAAATCCATCTCCCATCATAGAACTATGAGCACGATGAGCAGTTCCAAAGGCATCATTTATGTATACATCTCCTAGCTTTCTCAAAGATGCTCTAAATTCCGTAACTTTATCTTTATCAGCTTTAATCTGAAATTAATTAATATATATTATTCTTAAACTCTATATTTATATATATATAAAATCTTTTATTAAATATATGAAAATGGTCTTACATACCTTACTGCCATCAGGACCTACTCCTTTGCCTTCCTCTTCAACGTGAAACCTTAAGTTTTCTAACAAAATAATAGTACCAGGTGCTGGATTAGCGCAAGCAGCTTCAACATCAGATCCAACACAATCGTTTAAAAATAAAATCTCTCGTTTCAGCAGAGTTTTCAACTCCTCAGCCACAGGTTTCAATGTATACTTTTCGTCTCTCTTTCCATCAGGTCGACCCAAGTGGGACATTAGAACAATCGATTTGGCTTTTTTATCAATAGCATATTTCACAGTGTCTAATGCAGCAACAATTCTCTGATTGTTCGTTATCTTCCCTTCCTTTAGCGGTACATTAAAGTCAACCCTGAAAGATCATTTTTGTGTTTTCATAGATATTTCTTAATTCCTTACTGTCTTTCTGTATGATTATCTTCTAGAATAAAATATTATCAGGAAATACATACCGTACAAGCACCCTTTTATCTGTCAAATCTACTTTATCGATGCTAAGCTTGTTAAGTGCCATAGCGATGCTTCCCTTCGTGACTTTATTGATCACAGTATCCTTTAAGAAGAAGCGGCTATTACTGTATGTAATTCTCGTTAAACCTTTATTCACGGAATAAGTAACGTCACACAATCGACCGTTGTTCGGTAAATCCGAGCGCGAGAACTTGAAGCCGCGAGTCGGTGTTCCAAAGTCAAAGCAAGGTCGCCGAGTGTGGCGACCTCCCGTAATTCTTTGCAATGCTCGATGTATTTGTTGGACCGATATCATTTTATGTAGACTGCAAAATGATCACAAACTGTAAATATCTCTATAAATCTGTATTAGTTGTACATTCTTCTAAAGTTTTTATATCAAAAGAGAAAATTAAATAAAATATTATAACAATATATTTGATATAAAATAATTTTATAGAGTTTGTTATATAAGCAGTTTAATCGATTGTCGTTTTAACTAGATTTTGTTTTGTATGGATTTGTTTCTTTTTTATTCTGTAAGTTCTGTGATAGTTTATGCAATGAATTTGAATAACCGTATAGCACCGTCTGCATCAGACTGTGCAACTTACTGCAGCAATTGGCAAGTGATCTAGTAAATTACTAGAAATGCTGTGTGCAGGGCATCGATCATGTAATTTTTTTCTAGAAGCAGAAACGTGAAAGTGAAAATTTCACGCGAATTCGACGAATAGAATTGTTTTTCTATCGGAAAGCCCCGTCTTTCCAGAAATAACCAGAAATAGTATTTTTCAATTAGTAGTTGCCATCCTTCGCGATTATTGACATTTGCGACTCATTGTGGAATAACTCTAAAATTTTTTATGTGTAATGGCTTTAAAACAAAGTTTAATTTCATGAAAATTAACCTTTTGTGTTTACAAAAATGGCGCGAAATGGCGCCAATTTCTAAAGGTTATGTTATGTTAGATTGATGGTTCAGTAAATAATCATTGGTGACAAATGATAAAAATATAGAAAATGTAGATTCTCTGTGTAATATATTAATATAATAACCGCAAGAGTGATTGTAAAAATACTCCGAAAATTAGACAAAACGAAAGTTAACAACATGAGTCAGAACGAAGAAAATGACAAAGACGGTATTTTTGCTTTTTGTTGGAAATTTGTGCTTAAATCATTCAAATTTATACCATATATGATATATGTACAAATATATACATTATATGTTATTATTAGTTGCATTGAAATTAAATTATTGAATTTAATTCTTTTTTGGTATCATTTTTATGAGTTGTTTGCATTGTTTGTATGCTAAGGATATTTTGTTTATGATTTATATAATAGAAATTAGATTGTAAATTTATTTAAGATTATTGCTACATTGGATATATGTAAATATTAATATTAATATTATATCTTAATGATGTTTTTGTTACAAAATGAGATTGAACAGGTTCAATATGTATATACTTTGATGTTTCAGAAAGTGACAGTTGTGTAAATCTTAAGGACTCAATTCCACTTATAAATGATCTGTTTCATGTGCATTGTAAAGTTGGAGAAGGTGCATTTAGTTCTGTCTTCCTGGCTACATTAAAATCTTCTGATAGACGTAAAAAGTTTGCCTTAAAACACTTGATTCCTACTTGCAATCCTGAAAGAATCGAACGTGAATTGCAATGCTTACAAAAAATAGGGTATGTTTTTGTTTGCTCTTGTGTAGAAATACATTGTTGTTTTATATTGACTTGTTATAATGTGTTAATTAATGTTGACAAGAACAAACAAAATTTATTTTAGGGGCAATGATTATATTGTTGGCTTAGAATTATGTTTGAGATATCGTGGTTCAGTAGCATTTGTAATGCCATATATGAAACATGATAGATTTTCAGTAAGTTTGTAATTTGTATATGTTTAGAAAATATAATAATAATGAAAAAATACTTATAATAATGATATCTAGGAATATGTCAAAAATATGACTACTGAAGAAACAAAGGATTACATGAGAGCTCTTCTAACTGCCCTGCGAAGAGTACACAAGTTTAATATCATACATAGAGATGTGAAACCCAATAACTTTCTCTATGATCGTACTAATAGAAGGTAAATTTTTATGAGAGAATAAATGATTTTTCTACTATGCTGAAAAATACTGTTACCTAATAATTTAATATAATTCTTTAATTTTTCCAGATATTTATTAGTGGACTTTGGTCTTGCGCAGCAATATACTGTGGAGAATCTAGAAACTATAACAGAAATAAATAGTCAAAGCATTGAAATACCAAAAACAGCACTTAGTATGAAGCGAAAGAGATTTGACGAAGTAATTTTTATACACAAATCTAATTACGTACAGTTAAAATACTGTAATGTTTCTTATTCCTTTTAATTTATTCCAGAATAATTTGAACTTTCAATTTAATCCCATTGCCAAGAAGAACATGGAAAATAAATGTTACTGTTTTGGAAAACCCAGAGTATGCACATTATGTTTAGTAAAGCCACAACAAACGGCACCACGTGCAGGTACACCTGGCTTTCGTGCTCCAGAAGTTTTATTGAAACATCCTTCACAAACTTCAGGTATTAAAAAATTATAATTTATCGCGAAGAACACAAAATGATTACACTTTCGGTGAATAAAAAGAAAAAAAAAAAAACAAATCACAAAATTTACAAATAAATTTTAGCAATTGATATTTGGGCTTGTGGTGTGATGATGCTATGTATACTCAGTGGTACACAACCATTTTTTCGCTCGCCTGACGATTGCACAGCTTTAATGGAAATAACAGCGATATTTGGAACTTGTAATGTACAACAATGTGCATATAAATTAGGTATTTTAATAAATCACTACAAGTTATTTTTATTCAAATTATTCTTACGCTTTTTTTATTTTATTAATTTTATGTATTGTATTATTTATTTTTTCTTTTCGTTTTTTTGCTTAGGTAAAAAAGTTATTTTTAGTGAAAGTTTACCATGCACTGATCTTATGTCTTTGTGCCTAAAGTTACAAAAAAGAAATAGGAGAATAACACATGATAGAGAGAATAGTATATGCAAAAAGGTATATTCTGTTTATATTTTATGTATTTTATTTAATGAAGCAGTATGCAGGAAAAAGAATAGATTGTAATCAAATACAACAAAATCTTTTATCTTTTTACGTTAGAAAACATTATAATTATCGCCAGCAACAGAATCCTTGTTAATATTGGTTTAATCTTATTCTGCTGCGCGATATAATTGTTGTCACTGCAGAGATGTTTAATTACATCTATCTTTTCCCTGTTGCTTCAGTAACATACAGTGCTTCCATCTCAAAATTATCGTAATATTTTTTAAGGCACCGTCAAATATCGAGTATCCCAATGAAGCATATCATCTTTTGACGAGACTTCTAGATTTGGATTACAAGACACGTATCACTGCAGAACAAGCATTATCTCACCCATTTTTAAGTTCATAATATATTAATGTTGAAATTGTTTTATAGAGTCTAAAATCTATCGTGTATTTTGCATGCATGCAAGGGTACATTACATTTCATCTATGCGTAATTATAATCATAATTATTTCATTTAAAAAATTACGACTTTAATTTATTAAATATATACTTTTGTTACTTCAAAGTTGCTTTTTGTTAAAGTATATAAAATTTTCTGATCTAACAAATTGTTGAAAATAACATTTTTTTACAAAAAATAAATTTTGAAAGCAAAAATAAATTCTAATAAGATTATATAATTTGGGACTCTCGATTACTAAAATATTTAATATTAAATATAGAAATATGAAAAGTGTTGTTTATGATCTTTCTCAACATTATGATCTCTCTTTGGGTCATCTTGTATACTGGATAATTTATTAATGAAATAATAAATCTCTTATTTAAAGTTTCGGACTTCTAATTATTTCTTTCTTTTTTTTATAAAAAATCTAAGAAAACGTTTATATAGTTATTAAATGTATGGTTTCTGGTGTACAGGTGAGACATCTAAAACAGGCCATCTGAATGTTCTAACAATCGCGTGTACTTAGTGCTTTTTTGTATTTTTTTAAATATAATTACACTCGATACATTTCACGTTATAAAATTTTTGAAATTTAATATTAACGTAAGGCACTTGGTTTTAACGTGATAAATATAAATATTTTTTTAGATTTAAATATTTAAATATTCACGAATACGCGGAAGAATGGTTTCCTTAGTCGACATGTTCGATGTTATTGACATTTTGTGACGATTCGCCCTCTCCCACATTTTTCTGAATCAGATTCCATTTGGCAGCAGCGTCTAAAGCAGTGGATGCCAATTCCTTAACTTTTTCGCTTTGGACGTTATCGTTCTTGCTCAACGCCATCAGTATTTCCATTATATCTGTTTCAATAAGTTTTGCAGCAACATCCTTCGTGCTTTTTATCATGTTTAGCACAATTACGACACCTCTGTGCTGAATGTCGCAGTTCGGATTGGCGAGTAAAAGTGTAAAGATTCCAGCCAATCTTTCGAGTCAAAAATCTTCTCGCAGGCTTTCTTGCTGGCCGACGTCAGTATTGCTAAAGCTCCAGAAGCCGCCATACTGGTAGCTTCATCCTCGTCCTCGGATAGTATCACGAGATACTTGACTCGATCGTTTCCCCTTCGAAGTACAGAATCGTTTCCTCGCACATCATCAAGTTGTTTATGACTTCCGTGGACGCGCGTCTCAGCATGTCGTGCTCCTCGTACATGTAGACTTCGATTTTCTGGAATCCACCCTCTTTTAATATGCGTTTTCTCACGCTGTCGTTGACGCCAGCTATATTGCACAGGGCCATGAGACTTTCGAAATTCTCGAGAGCGCAACACTCCGGGTTCAATAGATTTATGAACGGTCGCACGACCTCCATGATTCTTTGTCCGGGAAACGCGACCTCCGGGTTTATCGTGATTCCCAAGCGTGCCAGAGCTTGCGAAGCCTGCTTCTTACCCTTGTCCGTGCCGTCTAGCGCTAACGGCAATAGCGCCTTTGCACCACCCTGCTGAACGATCATTCCTCTCACTTCGTGTTGACTGCATATCGCATTGAAGACACGTGCTATCAGCTCTTGCTGTTGTGACTCTCCGTTTTAGCGAGGCTGACTAGAGCAGTGGTCACGCCGGCCTTGGCTAACGTACAAAGTCGCTTATTCACGAAATCGGTGTCGTCCAGCTCGTGTTCCTCGGGAATATGATGTTTCGCGAACTTCGCCAATTCTATCATCTCAGGTATGAGTTCCTGTTTATCGTAAGCGTTACACAAGTTCACCAATGTTGTGACCACGCCGTAGATAACCGACTGATCACCAGTCTTGGCGAGCTCGATCATCGACTGAATAGCTTCTTGATCCTCGATTAACTTCTCTTTGACCTCAGCATCGAAAGTGAGGTATGACAAACCCTCCACAGCCCACTTTCTCATATCTTTCTGTTTCTTGGGATCGATCAGGAATCGTCTACAAGCTTCGGCCAATTTTTTCGTTGCTCCATCCGCGAAGGGCCTGATAGTGGCGTCTGAGCCTCCGGAGCTGCCCAATTTGCACAATCCCACTAACGCCCGTACTCGAATCGAATCGTCCTTAGACTGGTACAGCTTCTTCAATATATTTACACCTTGATTTATAATCGCAGTGGCCTTGTCTTTCTTGGATGCGGCGGCTACGATACATTCGCAAGCGACTTTCTGCTGCAACACATCGTCCGTTCCCGCCATAACAAGAATCATTTCCAGAATTCCTTCTTTGGCCACAATTGCATTTCCAACGTCTAGCGGACCCAATAATAAAGTTGTTATCGCAACTACTACACGTACCTATAAAGAAATCAAACAATAAATTTTTGTACAATTTTTTTTTGTATTAGAGATAAAATAATTCATTTTTCAACGAAAATGTTTGAGCAACTAATACTTTTTCAGTATTTAACAATTAAAAATAGCAAGTTTCTCTTGTTTTCTAGTAAACTAAAAAGCTTTAGGAGAAACAATACAATGCCAAAATGTATATACCTTTGATTCTATATCGGGTGTAAGTAATTTATCTTTAATAAATTCATCAATGGCACTCCTAAACTTGTCTTTAGCAGCGTCATAGTACATGTTCTCGTATATTCTGGCTAAGCATACGCTAGTTATAGTTCTCGTAGAAGACGTAACATCCATCGAGGATTCATATTTGTATTCCTCCATTTCACTGGCAACTTCCATCAATCTCTGCAAACCGCGGAGCTCAACCAATCGCTCGGCCCAGTCTAAAGCGGTATAATGAATATTACGCATAATAAGCTCTATTATCGCGTTCCTCGCAAGACCTGTTATTGTTCTATTTGTTATACTGTACAACAAGCACGATAGAATCGTATCTATTTCTTTCTTATGCGCTTCGCACAATGCCTTATCGGGCTTTGAATCGGGTTTATTATCCATGCCACTATAAGTGTTTAATATAGTCTGAAATCAAAGCATATAAAATGAGTTTTCAGTCATATATGATAATTATATATGTTCTAATAGATCAGTATACTCACCTGTATACAATACTGAGATGCATTGACTCTCTCCGTAAGTTTACTATTCATTATTTCCAGATACCAAGGCAAACCAATATTTTTTACAATGGATTCAGTTCGACTTAGATTGTTTTTGCTTAACTCGGCTATAATACGGATCGCATTACAAATTATTTCCTCATTCTTCTCGACTTTCAAAAGTTTTGTTATTTTTAATACTGTTCCTTCCTTAAAGATTTCCTCTGCACCGGCTCTTTCACGTGCAAGCACAAGTAGATTATTCATAGCGGTCTCACGCTTCTCTTTATCCATGCTCATGTTGAAGGCTAAATCCAACATTTGTGATACCTAAACATAAGTATAGTGATTTATAATATGATTACATTGCATCAATATTGCATCAATATTGCATCAATTTTTTTAGATTAGACAAAATTATTAAATTTTGCACTTTGATAAATTTGAGTAGTCATGTATACTTACTTTGGCACTAATACGTGAATTTTCTTTATATCGTTCTTGTACAATTTTATATAAACGTGCCGCTATAGGCTGGATAGATTTGTTATTGGGATCAAATAAAATAATATTTCTTGCATCTTGATATGCCTCTTCAAATCTTTCTAATGATTCTAGTGCTTGGCATCTACGAAACAATGCTTTGGGATCATTAGGACATATCTCCAATGAGTCATTGCAATCTTTGATCACTTTTTCATAATCTTGTAATTTTAAATAAGCTGCAGCCCGATTTTTATAGTATATTGCTTTCTCAGCACTATCCTCTTTTACTAATTTCAATGCATTTGTGTAGCAATTTAAAGCCTCCGACCAGTTATTTTTATTAAACTCTTCATTACCCTTCTCTTTCCACTCTTGTGCATTCAAATCTGAGTTTGTCATGATGTGATGTGAAACAATTTTCTCTATAACATGAAAAATATTCTCTGGTCTCTTTTCAAATTAAGAATGTCCTTATGCTATAATGTATAGTTATTGTTTTAAGTATGAAAAAGATAATTGACAAGCTATAGACTAGTTAAGTAACAGATACAGAAATAAGAATTATAAATGTAGAAATAAATGCAATTTCTAAAGTAATATTAGAGTAGTAGTTTATAAATAAATTATTATTAATTGTTACAATTTCTATCATATTCTGTTTAATAATAAAAATAGTACAAAGAAAATAGATTCTACAATACTTTACCTTCTGTCTGGTAGTTAATCACTCTAGATTAGAAAGAGAATGATTTGAGAAGCAATGATTCACTTTTTCAAATTTTATCACGAATGTAATTTGAAGAATATAATCTGCGTTTCGTGTAATTCAGTTCACACTCATTCTTAAAATGCGATTAAGATTGGCACCGTTTGTGCATTATATTGCAGATCAAGTAGAACTATCCAGAAGCCACGACATTCGTTCAGGTTTATTTTCGGCGAAACTTCTTCGATATAAATGGAAGCATTAGGTTAAAGATAGATCTAATATTTTCGATCTACCAGTGTCATTCAGCTATATATTTTTGCCAATCAAAAATTTCAAGTTTTTATGACGGAAATTCATAATGATACATACATATTGTTTTATTTTAATAATAAATATAATATATAATTAAATCACATTTCACTCCATAAGGATATTTTACATTTCTTTTCTCCATGTGCAAATATTGACGCATTACATATTTTGGAAAACATATATTTCTTTGCATAAAGATTAATTTTATTTAATTAATGTTACAAGAATACAATAATACTAGGTTATGTGTCTAGTACACTGAACTATAAGCATGCTGAAATGGGCACTGAATCGCTTATTGCGAGCCGAGAGAGAACCACATCGTCGTGTATTGCTGTCTTTCTATGTACGGTCAAAAGTTTCGAACTTGACTTAGCAAGCAATTAGTTAGTACAAGCAATTAATATTTTAATCATTTTTAATATTATATTAAAAATGTAATATTATTATATATTTATAACATTTAAATTAAAATATTCTAATATTTATTTCTATGTTAAAAAACTGTTGTGTGAAATTTACGCTACATTGACGATTCAGTACTTCGAGAATCGCAATTTCGCACTTTTCAAGTGACTTCAACTTCAGACAACGATGCGTTGCAGCGACCGTAAAATCACATTCAAATCTTTTCGTATTTTTTGTGATTGTTATTGTTTAAAAATAAATCCAGAGCAAAAAAATATTGTGAGTGTTTTGTGGTGTCAGATATGTTCGTCGTAATTCATTAAACATCACGTGCAACCGATATTATAACACGGTGTAGCCAAATATGTAGCGATATCAGTATTGGTGATCTGCTTTATGTTCCTGAAATCGATTAAAATTCTTACATATTACGTGTTATTATTCTCATCGAAGTATTTCGAATGTGCAACAAATGTAAAATCATCATCAGGTATGTAAATATTGTTTTTTCTATAATTAGTTGTATCGATTTCTTAACATTTTATATATTTTTTTAAACATTTGAATGCATGTATTGAATTTAAAAAATTAAAAAAAAAAAAATAAAAAATTACATTTTATTTCTCTGAAATATTATTAAATATTTTTAAAAATGCTTGTTATCAACGATCGATCATATCAACATTTTACTATTATCTTCGAGTCCACGTTGGGCCTGTCACAATATAATCTGTTTGGTGTCGCTTTTTACAACGTGTATTTTTCGAAACGGTTTGCGTTTTAAAACGAGAATAAGTGTGTGCTAAAAATCTTTTATTCGAGTAAGCATTGTGAGAAATGAATCTTTGTGAAGAACTGGACATATACACCTTCCACAATAAAACTCTTGCTGAAAGATTATATGAATACTCGAGCATATTATCTCTGCATGGAAAAATACCTGCAAAGAATATTCAAGCAGAATGGTCCAACGACGTCGAACTCGTTATAGAGTCATCTGGTTGGCAAGCACTGTGGAAAATATCGCGTTACACATGTGAAGAACAGAACATTTCCTACCCAGCGATAGTTTTAGTAGAAGTGTTGAAAATGAAGTATCACACTCTACATGCAGAGGTGAAGATCAAGGCCGTTACGGAGAACATTAATCTACCTGAGAAATATGAAGTGCCATTAATTGAATTGTATCCTACTATTAATCAGAAAGACCATACTCTAGATATAGAAGGTACTGCACATTGCGTAGACCGATTGCGGTTTTTCTACAATCACTTATGGATGCCATGGGATGAGAATGAAGATGAAAATATTGATTGGGTAGAACGACATCTAGATCAAAGGATTAGATTATTTTTTAATATGACTCATGCAGTTATTGATAAGGAAACATGCAATATTATTAAGTCATTGATTAATGAGGGAAAAGAAATAAAGTTTAAGCTTCCAACAATACAAAAAGAATTATTCGATGAGAAGTGGAATGATAAAAAGGAGTCTGAAGATTATTTAGAATTAGAAAGCACATATAATCAATTTTGCTTTCGACTTCAGCAAATTAAGACAGAGATGGATTTGTTAGAAGTTTTTTCTTTGAAAGAGCTGCTTAGGAAGAATCAAATTTGCAATAAGGAACGAATGAAAAATTATAATAAGAATGGCGAAAAGACATATTACTTTGTATGGTTAGGTGGTACTATTAAAGAGTTGCATAAGCTTTTTAATAAAATTCAAGAAATATCTTCTGAAGATGCAGTCGTTAAGTATGTTTTAAGATCAAGCACTAGTGGATCCTGATGTCGATAATAGGGGGGGTTTTGACCTGCTTTAATGCATTTTTTACCAAGATTTTTGAAACGGATCCAGCAAAATTAATTTTTTTTTTAACTTGGAAGGGGGGGGAGTTTAACCCCCCCCCCCTTCAGGATCCGCCAGTGAGATCAAGTAATTTTAAGAGAATTAGATGAGAGATTATAGTACATTTATATAGTATTGTACATGTAATATTTCTACATTATATATTTCAGAGTTTGTAAATACTTGGAGGAAGCTTTGGATGTATTTAAGAAAAAGGATACTATTTTGTTGGGTGAAGGGTGTCACTCAATTAACTGTTCCAATGGATTACAGGAAGGAGGCTCAATTATAGGAATCCGTAATGCAAACGATACTATTCTCCAACCATCTAACTTTAAGTCGAGCATTGCATCATTGTTTGACTTTTTTGGTACTGAGGTGTGTCTCGTTTAATAAAATTAAAAATTATCTACTATTTAGTTGATTTATTCTACTATTTATTTTACTACTTATATTCTACTATGTATTTTACAATTTATACTTATTTATTTTTTAAATCTCAATAGGTTTTGTTGAAAAATATCTGCATTGAGTTGATAGGTCCTCAGACAGGTATAGTTGTAAGAAGGAATTGTACTGTAATTGTAACTGGTTGCATAATATGTGTCCCTAATACTACTTCAAGCAACTGCACATTTGGTGCAATTGTTATGCCAGGTGGAAAATTAAAATTTGATAATACAGTTTTTCAAGGATTAGGAACTGCTGTTGTCCTTTATTCAACTGGTGAAGTTATCATGGATGAATGCCGCTTTAAAAAATGTGATAATGGTATAAAGGTAAAGTCACCTTTTTATTATCGATAATTTCGAAGATTATTCTTTTTTAGTATTTATAATAAACATACATTTTCTTAATTTAGCTCCAGGACAATGTTCATTTTACTATTACCAAATGTTCCTTTGAAAATGTCAAAGATCCTATTGTAATGGAAACTGGAAAGGTAACTCATTCAGAATCAGTACCAGTAGGACATGAATTGTTTACATCTATCGAAGGAATCTTTTTAAATGAATGTAAATTTTTCACGGAAGATCAAGTTGGCAAGATCAAGTTAAGACCGAAAGGCATTGAAGGTATAATAGATTAATAGATTCATGGTTGGGTGATGAAATTATTTGACTCTTAAGGTGCGTTCGGGGAGACGCTATTAGCGCTATTTGCGTCATTCTATCTTTATCGCTCATTAGACATAAAACAAGGATAGAATGACACAATAGCGCTGATAGCGCGCTCCCCGAACGCACCCTTACAACAGAAATTATGTAACAATAAAATGTCTGCTATTATTTGAATATTACAATTTATAATCTAAAAGTTACGAATAAATCCTTAAAAATTAGTATTTGCCTTTCATCCTTATTCCATATAATTTCGTTAGAAACTTATTTCATTATCATTATTTTTCTCTGAATTTTGAATATGTCGATAATCGGTACATCAAAGTGTATCAGATTATTCAACCATTTATTTCTCATAACAGATGTCGCCATTGCTTTGTTTTGTTTTACCATTGCGCGGCACGTTGTGATATATCTGCATATACTTATTGGATTGTATGTTGAGTATGACAATTTTAAGATCGAGAATTTTGATAAACGTAGTGTCAGCACATTGTGTTCATTACAAATTTCATATTACATTCCCGTTCACGCATTTACACGTGTTCGCTTGGAGACGCAGTTTCGCAACTGGTCGGTTTCATAACCTCATTCTCGAGTTGCTGAATCGAACATCCCGCACTCGTGTCAAGAAGTGTAAGCAATTTTTGTCAAGCTATCGAGTGTAAAGGAGAACAAGCAACGAGTCATAAATTGCTTCAACGTGTGTTACTTCTACGTGATTGTACAAGGTGTTTCCTTTGCCAATTTGACCGGTCGCGAATATAACCTCAACGCAGAGATCAGAGATTTTATCTGTTCCGCGCTTGCTTGCTTGCGCCGCATGCGTGTGCGTTATCGCACACAGATAAAAAAGCAAAGTGAAGCAAAGCTCACATGCACGCGTAGAGGTATGACATAAATTACAATTTACATATCACTGTCATTATTGATATTTTTTTCAACTTGGATTGGTCCATGTTTTTGAACGGTACCATAAGTGCCTCCTTTCTTCCTTACATCCCTTCCCGGCTGCATCGGCCATGTGGTCGCGCGCCGACACGTGCGTCTATCACGTATGAATGAAACGTCATATGCGGCGAATATCGGCGAGCTCGCCGCGAGTTCAAATTCCGTCGTTGTGTATTTCCGTTTCCTGTTCGTCTTTATCCTTCTCTCTTTCTTTCACCGAGAAATGATTAATTGCGATTGCCGTCGTCGACCGATAAAACCGCATGGCCACGCTTTGATATTGAGGCTCAATGATTAATCGTGGGGGCAGCCGAGGACGCGGGGGTGGGCTGTCCGGGGTTGGCGAAGCTGTCGTTGCCAGAGCGCTAAACGCGTCGCATGTACAGTCGTGATGTATCGCGCGGTGCACGGATGCAATGCATATTCATGATGTAAAGGCGTTCCGGCGGACGATATAACGAAAAATGACGAATTTCGCATTTTATATGCCCATTCCGCAATCCGGCGTTTAGAACGTCGGATCAATTGAGCCCCTTATTTCCCAAGTGGTGTAAGTCCAATTTCTAAATTGTTGGAAAATTAATGTTTTGCATTTGGGTTGCTAACCTGTTATCGTTTGATCCAACTTTCTACTCTCTATAAAGTTAGACTTACACCACTTGTTTACTAGACGCAGACTATTCTTCAGAACACATTTCTGGTGTAAGTTTAAAATCTCAAATTTTGGATTTACACCACTTGGGAAATAAGGGGCTCAATTGTATTGCAGCGTAGCGCTTACTGTTCCGTTCTCAATTCGTTCGTTTTTTTTTTTTCGTTTTTTTTGTTCAACACGTATGCGGATGCCGATTAAGTTTGCAAAGCCCGATCAAAAATTACACATATGTCTACTGTTACGATACAGAACGTTATTTCACAAATATTTTCTGCCTGTTTGATAAAAAAAAAGACGCATTCCAACAAAGTAAGCTTCCTCAATCAATAAAATTTTGCATGATACGTTGATAAAGAGATAAAGAAATTATAACAATCTCAGTAAATAAAATGTTAGCAATATTGGCAAATCAAATTTGTAACATCGCTAACATTTTGGTTATCTGGGAATATTACAGTACAAGAATCATTTATGCTTTATATGTCTGACCATAAACATTAAAAAAAAATTGGTTTAATTGACACAAATAAGATATAAAAATTACGGGATAAATAACAGAAATAGTGTAAAATTGATGAACATAAATTACGTAATCACGTAAATTTACAATATTTATTTAGTATTCTTGTTATTTATTGTGTAATTTTTACATCTTATTTGTGTAAATTTATTCAATTTTTTTAGTGTATTTATATGCCAAATGGTTTTATTTTATCGGAATAGAATTATTTTATTGGAATTCGAAGATTTTTTGTCAAAGTGGTGTAGTTTTATTTTGTCAGGTTCCAAAATTGATGATTCATATAATCATCCCTAAACTTTTTCAAGCAAACTTATTTATATTTAAGGCCCCTGGACTCGCCGCGGCCATGTTGGCAATCGTGACGTCAGGGGCAAAGAATTACGCGCTGAGAATTCTTGCGTGCCATTTTCAAATAAAAAGACGTGGTACGATTCATACCATATTCATTTTACAATTGTTTATTAACTGTCAAGGGAAAAGCATAGTTTTCGGACAAGTTTACAAGTGCCAAAGCGATCTATAGTGTTATTTTATCAAAATATTTTTTTATTTGAAAATGGCACGCAAAAATTCTAGCGTCATTTCTCGCCTCTGACACAGTCACAATCCAACATGGCCGCGACGAGTACCCAGAAGTCTTAACATGTATACAAAATATCAGTGTTACAGACCTGGTCACTTCGGTAACTTCAACGAGTTAACGAAATTATATATCGGAGTTTAAAGCGCTACTGAAAATATTTAATTTTTTTTGTTCTTTTATAGTTATTCACGACTCAGCGTTTGAATCACTGTTTCGACGAGTCGTAATCAAGAGTGATCGTCGTAGTAGAGCAATTATTGAATTGACGAACACGACAGCATCGTCGTTGACAGGCACGCACCTCGACATGGTGGAAACAACCGCACCGGTACAGGCCGTCGATGGACAAACGCAATTCGGCAACGCACGTGCCCTCGATTCGCCCGACTGCATTTTCGTCTTCAAGAACACGCTGTCGGATTACGAGGAGCCGCCGTCCGACGAAGAGGTGAGTACACTGTTCCAATTTTATTGCGATCACTTTCTACAACGCTTTCTGCAAATAATGATATAAAAGAAAGAAAAAGAGAGAGAGAGAGAGAGAGATAAAAATGGCGAGATTTATAATTTGCAAAACATGAGAACTAAAACACCACATATCATTGAAAGCACGTGAAATTCTGCGTTCCAATTAAATAGTATTTTTATTAAAAAATTATATTTTGTTTATTTAAATTGCAACTAGAAGCGGAACTAATGGCTTATGCTAGCCACATATGTAAAAATAAATAAATTTTGTGTACGACAACACATGAAATTCTCTAATGAATCTGGTAACGACAGAACTCCTCGTTTTGGTTTATTAACTAATGCTGTGTTACTTCATAACTCTCAGGGGTATAAGACACGCTTGGATTAAATTACACAGCCATTTACTGATTATTGGATGTCGGAAACTTCTATATAACATTTTACAAGTTAATATTATTGCTGCTACGTGATGAAGTTTATATTTATTTTTATTATTACGTTATCTTATTTTATTTTTGTTATTATCTGACAAGTGACAGGTCTTTTTATAGTTTAACAGGTTAAAATTATACTGAAGTTGGCTTCCAATCGTATTAACCGTATCAAATAATTTTTTAAAATTAATTGAACAAAAGAATTATTTGGGTTGACTACGATTGATAGTCAACTTTAGTATACATATATATCTTTATTCTTCAGCTTTTGCCAAGAAGGAAAAATAGTCAACTTTAGTATAATTTTCACTCGTCAAACTATCCACTACTACAACTAGCCACAAGTAGGATCATCCTCTGGACTGGGCTAGACTGGGGCATTATGAAAGTGGACTGAGTCATATATTTTGATGATATTTCTTTCGAGATATTTTGACTTCATAGATCGATGTAACAAAATAAATGATAAAATCAATTTTTCAAAATTTTTGACTTACAATTAGTCCATTTTTATAATCACTGGCATATATCATATCTTTTTTGCGATATATAGTGCGAGGATAAAGTTATTAAGATGCTCATAGAGAAATTCTAAATATTGCTTCTTTATTATGTTAAATATAAATTATATGTGCTAAATAATGGAAAACCGGTTTGTTCGAATATCCAACTTCTGATTAATATTGAGCAATCTATCTCACTTTGTAGTTATATTCTACTTGTACGTTGGCCTTCAGTTTAATAAGAAACGTTCACTTTTTAACGCGAGGTCGCTAAATCGCTTTTTTTACACACAGCAAACATGCATATTAATTGAGTTTTCTGTTCGTTTGTCGCGACATTTATTTGATCGAACTGGCACACTGCGCGTGACGCAAAGGTTAACACGAGAGGTGCGAAGACTCGTGATGATATAATATATTTAGCAAGTAATAGCCCATGTATGCGATGTGTATTGGCGATTGTCGTGGGGCCGGGTAAGCCTTCGACTAGCTTTGGGTCGATGTCGACCGCCGTTACAAAACGAGGACTGATAAAAGTACGAGGGACGGTTTTAAAGCACGACTTTACGGTCGATCACATGGCGGCGAATTAAATTATTCCGCTCCACATTTTTCTTTCAGTCGCAAGGGAGTCGTGCGTTCTCTCTTTCCTTTTCTCTCTTTCTTCTCTCTCTCTCTCTCTCTCTCTCTCTCTCTTTTTAATGCAATAAAGCTTGATACCGCGCGACGCAAATGCTTTATATGCCTGATTGCTTTCCGCTTTGCGTGTGAGACGTCTCACTCTCGGGAACCTTTGGTGACATATATTCTTCAAAATGTATACATCATAATCGTAACCAAGAGAAACAATGGCTTTAAAAACTTTTTGAAACAAAAGAATAAAAGGTAGAAGAGAATTAAATGCGGATATAAGTGCGTTCAAATGTTAAAATATATTCAGTGTACAAAAATGTATTAATATAAAACGTTTTGACCTCACTTTTCAATGAAATACAATCAAAGTGTAAAACAATCGCAAAAATGCAGAAGTTATCCAAAGTCTAATAGAAACAACACATTACAAAATAGGAGGAGGAAGGAGAAAATAAATATATCAAAATT